TGTGACTATAAATTTGAAGTCTTTCATACCTAATTATGGTACAGAAAGTATTGGGTGCAGATCGTCATCGTCAATTTCTGTGGTACACAAAGTATTGGGTGCGGATCTTCATCATTAAAATTTAACGCACATCGTCATCATCAAACAAATTATACATATTCTCAAACAAGTTATACATATCTTCCATCAAATAATTTTTATCCTCCTATAATTTATACATATCCTCTACTGGCTAGATGATATCCTCTATTGGTTATATGATATCATCCCGTGCTGGATGATATCATCCATCAAATAGAGGATATCATTTAGGTAATAGAAATATCATCCAGCCAATAAAGGATATCATATACGAAATAGCTAATAAAGGATATCATCCAGTCAATAGAGGATATCGTTCAGGTAGTAGAAATATCATCCAGCTAATAAAATGATATCATCCAGTTAGTAGATGATATCATCCAGCCAATAGAGGATATCATCCAGGTAGTAGAAATATCATCCAGCTAATAAGGGATATCATATAGCTAATAAAGGATATAATCCAGTTAGTAAAGGATATCATCTAGCCTGCTAGCCAATAGAGGATATAATCTAGCCAATATATGATATCATCCAACCAATTGAGGATAACAAAAAGCCGCATTTTATCAGTCCGGACTGACACAATACCTTCTCATTATGGTATGAAGCAAACTTAAGAGTCAAATTACTCTCAAACCTTAGGTATTCTTAGAGGAACATAAAAAGGGAACAATATAGGTTATTTATTCATATATTCGTCAATGTATTTTAAATAATAATAAGATTTTGCAGTTAAGTGATAAGCACAAATCATCTATATGGCGCCTAAATCGCCTTGGCTTATTGTAGGTAAGCCTTCTCCATATGAGCGACCAACAAAGCAACACACGTAAAATGTCACCACAACCGAGGAAATAACACGCAATGACATCTATGCATCAATACACAAAAACGGGAAATTGCCCATATGAGACTTGTTGGCAACTTGAATAATTAACACCACATGTCCACAAACTCCCCATTAACCCGATCCAAAACTACCAACCCACTCCAAATAATAAGATCCATCTTGAAATTTTGGGTGGGTTATTTTTAAAGTATTAGGGTTAAACCATTAATAATAAATAAAGAAAAATGAAAAATCAGAAATAAGACCCACTCTAAAGCAGAGCAAGCACACCTTCCTCATCTTCTCTCACATTTCTTCACTTTCTCTCTCCTCCTGGTCGATCTCACTCGCGCGATCTTCTCAGAGGGTTAGTTTTCTTTCTAATTTTTTTGGGTTTTTAAATTTGTGGGTTTTTGATTTTCGTATCAATTTCAAGTTTTAGCTCGTCGATTGCTTTGATGAATTTGTCTTATGTGCTTTGATCTTTGATATGACTTTATTCTTGATTGATGATTGGTGGGGTTGATTTTGTGTTTTATTTGGTTGAATTGATTTATTAATGTGGGCTGATTTGGCCGATGTTTGAGGGATTTGTTTGTGTTCATGATTGAGGGGTTTTTGATTTGTTGTTGTAGATTCAGAAATGTGACTCTTGAATTGGGAAATTTGCTTAGCTTTGTTAGATGATGGATTGATTAGCTCGAGGGATTTGCATTGGTAATTTCATTTGGGAATTTCGTTAAATTTTGGGATTTTGGCTTACATTTTCTGATTTTAGGGTTTGCATTTGAAAATTGAAATGATATAAGCTTGTTTATGGTCTTTGACAAAGTATCGATACATATGTAGGGTTTTGTCTGATTACATTTGTGGGTTTGGGGTTAGCATCATCTCGGATGGTCTAGAGCTGAAAGTAGCAGCAAATGAAAGAAAAAGTAAAAGGATGAGCCTATACAATGTATCTTGTTTATCGTCATTATTGAGCCCAAGTATGGGAATTTTGTTAACTAGCAAGGGTTAGCCCTCAATTGCTGTGGAAGAAAATGATTTAGGGGAGGCGGGGGTAGCAAATGAAAGGATTCGGAAGATTATTGTTGTTCAACTGTTCCGTTTCTTATGTTGAACATGTTGTTTATAGATTTGTTGGAGTATGTACTTTTTAATCAGTTTATATCAGACAGATAGGAAGGACCTTTTGTTGGTATTATCTATTTTTTGATTACTTTGTATTGGTTCTGCTAGTTACCCTCTCCATTTGGATGCTTGTGTGGTGCTTATGAATTTTGTGATTGCAATGGGGACATAGAGTATTGGTGAGGAAAAGATGTTTTGTGGGTTTTTGGGCTAATCTGAGTTGGGCCATTCTATCATATTTGATTATCCAAGGTTGGGTGTCTAAGGATTGAAGAGGACTCCAAGGTTGGCAATCATATCATATATGAATATGATTCTTATGAAAATGGAATTCCCAGATCCTCTCATGAAAATATTTCTTATACTAAATAATTTCATTATGCAGAGAGCCTTATATGGTAGTAATTGCACCTGTGCTTTAAGGCTTGCGCTAAATATTTGAAAAGTCTATTATGTTGCTTGGTTATGAAATTGATTCATTTTTTTCAATCCTATCAGTGTTCTACTCACATCTTGTCTCCCTCTCTCCCCCCCCCCCCCCCCTCACACTGTCCATATCTACATTGTTCATGTCATCTACTATGTTTTATGATGCTAAGATGTTTCTATCAATGTGTATGTCTTTAGTTTTGATTTCAATGGCATCAATTGCATCAAAGCTTCGTCAGTTGCAGTCCAAGGCTTGTCAGGCTACCCAATTTGTCTCCAAACATGGGGAAGTCTACTATAAGCAGATGCTAGAGCAAAACAAGGAGCACATTCAAGAACCTCCCACTGTTGAGACATGCAATCGGTTGGCCAAGCAATTGTTTTACACTCGTCTTGCCAGGTGTGTATACAAACAGAAATGGATGTTACAGAAACTCATAGTGCCTTAATTTTGCTGCTGTTTGTTGTCTTCACGGAAGAACCATAATGGTTTTTTATTTTTATTTTTTTATCTGTCATCATGGATAGGATAGGATACATAAGCTATATTCTGTTTTATATAAGCAGATTAATTTTATCTTGTGAGTTTGGGTGGGATAAGTACTTCCATGATATTCATTGATCTCTTCATTTAAGCAGGCTTACATTACCTTGAATGTATGTTTGCAATATGTGTAAATAGACCTTGAATTTATATTTGAAATTCATGTTAGCCGTCCGCAAATCATTTTGGGACTAAGGCTTTGTTGCTGTGTAAAACTGTAAATAGAGTTGCTGTTAGTAATGATCTGGTTACAAAAGAGTATTTGTTCTTAATAGTTATATTATTTTGCTGTGAGTACTATCAAGCCACTGAATTGGACTGGAAAAGTGAAATCATAAATGTGTGGGCCTCGGCTATGTTGTGGTCATATTTTGGGTGCTTTTTATCTTGTCCTCTACAATTGGGTCTGTGGTTTTAATACTTTTAGTATTTATTAATTTAAAAAAACAAGTCTAATTTGCTGATTGCATTTAGAAATACTGAAGTTATTGGCTTGGATTCTTAAGGTATTATTATGTATTTGTTGCATATTATGTGTCAATGTTTGACCTTGCACAAGTCGCTTGTTCCAAGGCATTTTGATCCAGTCATTTTCTCTTGAGACATGGTTGTAGATTTGTAGTGCATGTCTAAGAAGGGGTATGTATGTTTATGACTTGCCCCATGAAAAGGTATTTTGTATTTCTTAATTTTATGGTATTGTTACATGGGATTATATGTATCAACTTACGTTGTCAATCACCTTTAAACTGTTCGACTATCGATGATCTTCACCAACAAAAGCCATGTACTGTGTATACTCTCATTCAAATGTCAGAAAACTGACGTGTCTGGCTCTTAATGTTGATGCAGCTTACCTGGTCGTCGTGAGGCTCTCCGGAAAGAAGTTGATCAAGTAAAGCAGGCATGGCAGAACAGGAAGGACGTGAAAGTTGAAGAACTTGGAGTCGCAGCTTTGTTTGGACTGGAATGCTTTGCATGGTATTGTGCTGGTGAAATCGTAGGACGGGGATTTACCTTCACTGGCTACCAAGTTTAAGTTGAACGTCCACATTATGTGACTTGCTTTTAGACAAGTTGCCTTCTTTCCATTCTCTTTTACCCCCAAGTGCGTAGTTGAGCTGAAGATTTTTGAGAAAAACCAGACATGATGAGGATTTTTGTAATCAAATCAAAGGGCTAAAGCTCATTTCCCTTTGAAACATGTCTCTCTTCCTCCCTCCCTTTTAGATAACACATAAAAGGCAAACTTTATACTTCTGATATTTGGCTGCTGATTGCTGGTAAATGCAATGTATTTGACATTAAATGGCTTATTAGTGAATGAATAACTATCTTCTTCAGGTCTGGTGAAAAGCGTGTTGTGAAAAATACATATGGAGACAAATCCAACAAGGCTCATGTAGTTAACTAGTTATGTTTTTCTCATGTATAAATATTTTCAAGGTGATAAAACCGCCAAACCGGAGTATGTGGGTTAATGCAAAACTCAAAAAAAGGCCAACTGAAAGAAATAAGCAGGATCTAATACTCCATTGTACCAGGAAGGGGAAGTGTGTGTTGAGTAATCCCTCAGTATACCCCCACAGTAGAAAGTTCAAAATTCTTGTTCCTTCCCTTCATTTTTGACCACAATCTTATTGTACCAAAATCACCACTGTTGACAAGCAGTTATGTAGTCGGGAGTTTTACGATGAGGAGATGAATTTACTCGGAAGTAAAAAAATAAAGTGACAGTGCAAATTTGTAGCCGAGTTTTGATCTCATGTCATTGGTGGTTTGGTATCACTCACAAGACCATAATCAACTAATCTAGTTTGTATCAACTTGGTTTTAGTTTCTCCAACCAAAGAAAACTAGAATCAAATATGGTAGAGTTATGTGTATGCCATGAGTTTCATACCAAATCTCATGATCTATTAATGCACGACTAATGATCTGTTAATGCACGACTAATTCCATCTTATTAGCATGGTGGGGAGACTTGCAAGCAGGATAGCAGCAATTGAATTGTAGAAAACTATTCAACAATAATTTTTTTTACAGAAATCTCCGTTCCAATTTCTATGCACGCATACTTGTTACAGATGTATATTTTTAAACAATAACCATCCGGAGACAAAATAGACTATATACATTTGTCATCATTTGGAAGTTGAGCAAGAAATCAAAAGGAAACAAGTATCCTCTCAAGTCCATGTATATGATTCTCATCTGCAGTCAGTTTAGTGTATACTGTGTCCGTGTGGCTTCAAAAACCTGGTAAGTCTTCTATCAATTTCTACAAAAGGTTGTTCCTAAATGCCAAGAATATCTTTCGGGACAAAAGCAGGAGAAAGGCCAATAGAGAGCCAAAAAACAATTTTATGAAAATCTTGGCCGGATCATTTACTTCTTCAGATGTGCTGGTTGAGATTGCAGTTGCTGAAGGTAACGCTTCAGTGACAGCATCAGCTAGATCGTTGATGAAAGAAGAAGTGCAGTTGAGAGCAGGAACACGACCCCAATTCTCAATGCCAGATTCAAGCGCCAGTTCCTTGTATTCCATATCAATCTCTTCAAGCGTCTCAATGTGCTCACTCACAAAACTACAAAAACATGACAGTCAGCAATCCAAATAGACATTGTTAATCAGATGATATAAATAAAGCAAAATTAGTTTTTAAACACCAACATCAGTGAATTTACATGTATATTTCAATATCATCATAGAATAAGGTATTACTTACTGGTTTTTTTCTTTCTCCAAAATATTGCGGAGTCCAAACAGAATCTACTACAGAGTACTTTCAACTTCTTACAAGTTCCCTTATAAACAATTTTGTACAAAAACAGAGAACTGCTACTCATCAATGAGAAACAGAGTAATGAAAGAATGATAGCATTATAATAGTAGGTTGAGCATACACAAAAGAAAGCTTGTTAAATATTTGTGACTTACCTCACAGGAACAGCCAGCAGACTCTTTACTCCTCTTTGGCCAAGCTCAACAAGAACTTTATCAGTGTAAGGTTTCAGCCATTGCACAGGACCAACTCGACTCTGAACAGGGAGGATATGAGAAATATTATTAGCGAAGTGAACACGTAAAAAGCACTACAAACAACTCCATGGTATATTTATTGGGTGGTGGAGACACAAGAATATAAATGGGAAACAAAAGCAGCAACGAAAGAACTAGCTGAGATGGAAAACCATGCAGGCTCATAGCAAACCTGATAAGCAAGTGTATGACCATTGTTGATTCCTCTAGCTTTTAATTCTCTCATAATTAAGAAGATGCAATCCTCCATCTGATCTTTGTATGGATCTCCAGCATCCTCGACATAGCTAACTGGCACACCGTGAGCGCTGAAGAATATCATAACCTATATATTGGTGACAGCAATGACAATTAGTTCCATTTATCAGTTAGAATGCCAAAAATTTCAAAAACAAATCACCAGGTGCAATGAGAAAGCTAGGGTGTACATTTAAATGAAAGAGCTTGTAATAGACTAACCTAGATAGGCAATTTGGGAAGTCTAGTATTATTAGGTTAGTTGTTTTTAGCCTTAGTATAAATAGAGAGAATGGAGAAAGGAGAAGATAGGCAGAAATTGGAATGCATCCTTTTGAGAGTTGTGACCTCAAGTCACTATTTAGAGATTTGTAAGCTAAACCATGTAAGCTTTGAGCCTTAAATTTCTGCTTATTTATATGAATATACAAATCATATTATATAGTCTATCACAGAGCCTAACCTACCTCATCTGGCATGGAAAAGGATTGAAGCTCTTTCTCAATCAAGTTAGCCATGGACTTGATATAACCTTCTCGCTGGTACCAGGATCGAATGATAGCTACAGGCAAGCGAGACAGATATGCATCTTCCCTGACAATGTTTTAAAATTGGTAAGCCAATTTAGAGTGTGGATACATATACGAAGTTTCCCAATTAGGTCCTAAAGATAACATACCTGAAAATGTTTTGAAGAGCTCGGAGGCTGGAACCTGTTGTAGATATAGAAAACTGAGGATACAGAGGAAGGACAACAAGTCTTGTAACCTTGTCCCTCTTAATCTGAAAAATATAAGAAGAAAAATTCAACTATATAGCTCCAACATATCTTTCATAGGACAGCAGGATACAGAAAAAGATAGTTGGATCGGAGATCATATGAACACAAGCACGAACTCCAACATATAATATTCATAGAAATGAAACTGCATACAGTAGAAGCCCTAGAAGGAATATAAAGAAACAGAGCCTCCCTCTGTTATAGACTGGATTTTGTTGTAATGTAATTGTACTAATTAATTCAATTAATGGAAGAAGGGCAGATTTCTTAGATGATTAATCAAGATTACAGAGGATAATTAGTAGCTTGAGGCTACAAGTCTCTAAGCCACTTGAGGTAGCCACTCTCTAAGGATTGTCTTACAATTTTCTGGATGAAACTACTACAAGGTTGAATTAGCATATTTAAACTATTGATCAAAGCTGACCTTAGGGAAATGCTTGTGACTACTTTACTAATTAAGAAAAACCATAAATGAACATAACAAAAGATGGTTGCTTTTCTTTCCCTCCTTCTTCTTAATTGTTTTTGGCCCTTAGCAAGGAAATGCCTTCCCTAGGCTGCTGTTGTTGCTGTCCTCTCTTGCGCCTCGAGTACACCACCCACGGTTGACTTGGGTCCATGACAATACTTCCCCCCCAAAGCTTCACCTTGTCCTCAAGGTGGAAAGACGGAAAACGATCCACGATTGTTTGATAGTCCTCCCAAGTCGCTTCGAACTCCGGTAACCCTGACCACTGAATGAGGACCTCTAAGACCACCGTGCTACCTCCCCTACGCTTGCGGACATCGAGTAATCAATTCGAGATCGGCTGTAAGTTGCTCCGGAATGGTCTGATTGCCTGTGCTGGCCCCCGTAGCCTTTTTCAATTGAGACACATGGAAAGTGGGGTGTAGCTTGCAGGAACTGGGTAGATCGAGTTTGTATGCCACCTTGCCTATCCGCTGAAGAATCTTAAAGGGGCCGTAGAAACGAGCGGCCAACTTCTCGAACGGTCGCTTGGCCAAGGAACGCTGCCGATAAGGACGGATCTTTAAAAATACCTCATCTCCCACCTCGAACACCTCTTCGCGGCGGTGCTTATCCGTGTGCTTCTTCATGATATGCTGCCCTTTTAGCAAATTAAGTCGCAGCTCATCTAACATACAATCCCGTTCTCTAAGTTGCTCCTCCAGGGGTCCCACCGCCGTCTGCCCCACTCCCACCTTCAGCAATTTGGGTGGGTCGCGGCCATAGACCACCTTAAAGGGTGTGGTTTTAGTGGCCGTATGGGGGGGAAGTATTGTATGCATACTCCGCCCACGACAACAACTGAGCCCACCTCTTTGTTTGGCTGGAAGCGTAACATCTCACGTACACTTCAAGGCTCTTGTTCACAATTTCGGTCTGACCGTCCGATTGAGGGTGGTACGAAGTACTTCTCTGTAATTGCGTGCCCTGTAGTCGGAACAATTCGTTCCAAAATATACTCAAGAACACCCGATCTCTGTCAGAAACAATTGATGAATGGAAACCGTGAAGCCTGACTACCTCATTCACGAAGAGCTCCGCCACTTTAAGGGCGGTGAAGGGGTGTTTCAACCCCAAGAAATGTGCGTACTTAGAGAACCGGTCCACCACCACTAAAATCGCATCCACCCCTTTTGACGGCGGCAAGCCTTCGATAAAGTCCATGGACACATCGTCCCAAACGGCCGTCAGTACCGAAAGTGGTTGGAGGAGACCCGCTGGACTTTTCTGTGACACCTTGTTCCTTTGACAAACATCGCACGATCCAACGTACTCACCCACCGCCTTGCGCATCCCAGGTCAGTACCACTCGGCCGCCGCTCGAAGGTAGGTTTTTACCTCCCCATCGTGACCACCCATCGGAGAATCATGATACTCATGTAACAGTTGAGGAATAATGCTAGCTGACTTTGGGAGGACAATTCTCCCCTTGTACTGGACTTGCCCATTAATCAAAGTGAAACCATTGGGCCCAACTTCATTCGGCCGTAACCCCTTCTTAATTTCAGCAATCCACTCATCCTTCTCTATCTCCTGATTCATCTTGTCCCAGTTGATGCTTTGAGTACTCAACAACGTCTTCAACTCACATGGTTTCCTTGATAGAGCGTCGGCCACCCGGTTAGAGGCTCCGGGTTTATATTGAACTTCAAAATCGAACCCCACTAACTTCCTCATCTAACGTTGATATTCGTTTCCCACCTCATGTTGTTGCGTTATGAAGCGTAGACTTTGTTGATTCGTTCGCACTACAAAGTGTCGACCCAATAGATAATGCCTCCATTTAACAATAGCTAGGCAAATTGCCATAAGCTCCTTCTCATAAATGGACTTAGCTTGAGCCCTCACCCCTAAAAGCTTGCTATAATACGCAATCGGACGACCACCTTGCATCAAAACCGCCCCAAGTCCATAACCGGAAGCATCGGTTTCAAGGACAAACTCTTTCTTAAAATCGGGCATGGCGAGTACCGGCGCGGTGGTCATTGCCTTCTTGAGTCTTTCGAAAGCCTCGGTAGCCTCCTCGGTCCACCCATACGCCTCCTTCTTGAGTTGTGCGGTTAGTGGCCCGGCCACTTGAGCATAGTGGGCTATGAACTTGCGGTAGTAGCCCGTCAAGCCCAAGAACCCTCTCAATGAGATTTCGTGGGCTGGCCCAATCAAGGATGGCCTTGATTTTTTCATTGTCCATTGCCACCCCTTGCCGTGATATAATATGTTCTACGGAAATTTCATCAAATGCCACTAAGCAATTTAAAAATTCACCAAATGCCATCAGACTTTTCAGAATTCACCAAATGCCACCCAGTTTTAAAAAATTCACCCAGTGCCATTAATGACCAACGGCCGTTAACTCCGTTAGTAATTAGGGGTTAATCATGACACGTGTCATGACATAATTGGACCATTTATCTTAATTCATAAAAATTAAAAAAAAACAAAAAAAATTAAAAAAAATAAAAAAAAAAAAAAAAAAAACAAAATTTTTTTAAAAAAAACCCCAAAATTTTCCCAGCCACCGCCAAACCCTAACCCCTCCCCTCATCTCGCCGGAAAACGGCCGGTCACCACCGGAACCACCAACAATCGGCCGACCGACCATGTAGCTCCCCACCTGACCCACCGCCGACCCCCAAAACCACCCACGCTGCTCGTCCCGACCCCAAAAACCCTGCTCCCTCACTGCCACCACAGCAACTCCACCTCCAAGCACCACACTGCCCCCTTTGCTACACCCACACGCACCACCACATCAGCCACGATTAGCACCACCCAGCTCCCTTCGCTGCTCCCACGCGCACCAATTGGTCCAAATCCTCAACCCCGATGCACCGCCACTTCACCGCCACCACTACAGAACCCATTTGGGTTTCGGATTCAACCCAGAAATCCCATTTTCTAGGGTTTCGGGTTTTCTGGGTTAAGTCGATTTTTGGTGGTTTAAGGTGAGGGAATGGGGTTTATAGAAGCCGGAAAACAGGGGAGGGGGTGGTTTCGAGGCTGCGGTGGTCGGGAAGGGGTTGAATCAGAACCGTTGCTCGTGAAGGTGGAGGTTGGTTGTGGTTTTCGCGGGTTAAGGTTAGATTGGATGGGTGGCGCGTCAGGTAGGGGAGGTCAGAGTAACAATGGGTGGGGGTCGGCGACAACGGGTGATCCCGACTCCGACAAGTCGGTTTCTGGGCTGGGGAGAGGTGAGTTGCGTGAAGGGAAGGGGAGAGGGATAGGGAATGGTGGTGAAGGTGGCGACTGGCCGTTTTCCGGCGAGATGAGGGGAGGGGCTAGGGTTTGGCGGTGGTGGGGGTGGCTGGGAAAATTTTGGGGTTTTTTTAATTTGTTTTTGTTTTTTAATTTTTTTTAATTTTTTGTATTTTTTTTAACTTTTTTTGTTTTTTTTTAAATTTTTATGAATTAAGATAAATGGTCCAATTATATCATGACACGTGTCATGATTAACCCCTAATTACTAACGGAGTTAACGACCGTTGGTCATTAATGGCACTGGGTGAATTTTTTAAAAACTAGGTGGCATTTGGTGAATTCTGAAAAGTTCGATGGCATTTGGTGAATTTTTAAATTGCTTAGTGGCATTTGGTGAAATAGCCGTATGCCCTAAGTAGGCTACCCTTTGACTTCCAAACTCACACTTTTTATAGTTGGCATATAATTCATGCTCTGCTAACTTGTGAAGAACTTGTTGCAAATGATCTTGATGCTCACCCTCATCTTTGCTATATACAAGAATATCGTCGAAGAAGACTAACACAAATTTCCTTAGGAATGGCCTAAAGATGTCGTTCATGAGGGATTGGAAGGTGGTCAGGGCGTTAGTCAACCCGAAAGGCATAACGAGAAACTCGTAATGTCCCTCATGAGTTCGAAAAGCCGTTTTGTGGGTGTCCTCGGCTCTCACTCGAATTTGATGATACCCGGATTTTAAATCCAACTTCGAGAAAATGGCCGCGCCATGGAGCTCATCTAGGAGCTCATCAATTACCGGGATGGGATACTTGTCCGGCACGGTTTCACGATTGAGAGCCCGATAATCGACGCAAAATCTCCACGACCCATCTTTTTTCTTCACTAGCAAGACCGGACTTGAAAATGGGCTCGTTGAAGGTTTAATTATTCCGGCTTCTAGCATCTCTCGTATCAACCTTTCAATCTCATCTTTTTGAATTTGAGGGTATCGATACGGTCTTACACTAACCGGATCCCGACCCTCTTTCAAAACAATTGCATGCTCCCTGCCTCTCGAAGGGGGTAGCCCCTGTGGTAAGTGAAAAACCTTGTCAAATTTCCTTAAAATAGGCCCCAAGTATTCTTGCAGCCCAACACCTTCACAAGGCCCATCAGTGACTTCTCCTTTCTCTTGGGCCTGCTCAATCTGATTTATCTCCACCCATAGCCCATTTCTTTGTTTTGTGATGGTTCGAAACATAGCCTTGAGGGAAATGAGTATGGCTTCCAAGGACGGATCCCCGATTAGTTTAACCGGTGATCCGGCCACCGTGAAGCTCATCTCGTGCGTCTTCCAATTTGTCGTGACCGTGCCTAGTTTCTCCAACCATTGCACCCCTAAGATGATGTCGGAACTACCAAGGCCAAGCGGCAAGAAATCTTCTACCACGGTCACCCCTCCACTCAATTTGACTCGAACTCCTTGGCACACCCTTTTTCCTCGAACGGTATCCCCGTTCCCGAGGGAAACTCCGAATTCTCCCCCTTCCGTGAGAGGAATATGAAGCTCCTCCACCAACTTGGTGGCAATAAAGTTATGAGTCACCCCCGGGTCGATCATTACAACGACTTGTCTACCCTTGACCACCCCTTTGAGTTTCATTGTCTTCGGGTTGGAAATTCCAACAACCGAACAAAGGGAGACCCCCACATTGGGCTCGGGTTCCTCCCACTCCTCGGCACCATCGAGTAATTCGCATTCATTTCTTCCTCTTCGCCCCCTACTCCGGCAATCAAGACACTCATCTCTTTCCTCTTACAACGGTGTCCAATGCCCCATCTCTCATCATAACGAAAGCAAAGCCCTTTGGCTCTCTTCTCTTGGAGTTCACTCTCCGTAAGTCTTCTCGACCCACTGCTAATTTTCGATACTTGTTGGGATGAGCTGGCTGGCCCACGTTAACGGAGCCCTGTGACTCGGGAGCCCGTGGCCAGGCCCGACTGCTGGGTGTGGAAGAGGGTAGGCCGTAGGATTGGATCAATCCCCCTCCACTCCGGCCCACGTTCTGAGTTTGGGCCAGGCCCATGTGACTTGGTCCACCCTTCCAAGACCCTGAGTTACCCTTGCCCCCTCCATTCACCCTGTTCCTTTCCTCAATCCGCCCGCCCAGCCAAATCCATGGCTCTCTCCAATGTCACTGGATTCAACAACCTCAACTCCGCTTTAATTTTCTCATTCAGCCCGTTCACAAATTGGCCAAGCATTAAATTTTCAGGTATATCTTCTAAAGGAAAAGCGAGTTCAATAAACTTACGTCGATACTCTTCCACGGTGGACACCTCAGTAACGGCGAGCCACTGTTCGTGGAGGCTGCCGGCGTTAGAGGGCCGGAATTCTCGTAGCAGGCAGTCCTTCAAGTCAATCCACCCTCCGAACGACCTTCTTTTGTTCTCCCAGTGAAACCATTGAAGTGTCGCGCCGTCCATTGCCACCACGGCCGCCATCACTTTGTCCTCCTCCGTCAGCCGGTAAAAATCAAAATACATCTTGGCTCTCATGACCCAGTTATCGGTGTCTTTTCCCTCAAACACTGACAGATCTAATTTCTTGTTTTTGCACTTCACGGCGTCGCCACCATCCTCGTCCTGCCACCTTCTTGGGTCGTGTGTCCTCCATTCCGGCATTCCAAACCCCCCATGGCGAGGAGTCGTCACTTCATTCTCCCCGTGTTTCTGGCTGTTTTCATCATTTAAGTGTATTAGCGGCGGAGGTGGTGGTTGTCTGGTTTGCGCCGCCGTGGCCAGGGTTGCGCGCACCTCTTCTTGAAACTTCTCCCGTTCCTTGGCTGCCATTGCTACTTGCAATTCCTGGTCGGAACAAAGACGGTCAAACCGTCCTTCAATTCTCACTCTGTTTTCACCCTGTCTCTTTTGCTCGGCTTCGAAGAGGGCGGTGAAGTTGTCGGTAATTGCCTTCTGAGTGTCGGCCATGGCCCTGGTTACGGCTTCCGCTACTGCACGACAAACGGAGTTGCCGTGGTCCGTCAGCTTCTCCTCAATTGATTTCAGCCTTGACTCGACTTCCTCCAACTTCTCATCCACCGCGTCGGCGCTGGGTCAATGAAGGTCCCCCCGCCATGATTAATGGATTTTGTTATAGACTGGATTTTGTTGTAATGTAATTGTACTAATTAATTCAATTAATGGAAGAAGGGCAGATTTCTTAGATGATTAATCAAGATTACAGAGGATAATTAGTAGCTTGAGGCTACAAGTCTCTAAGCCACTTGAGGTAGCCACTCTCTAAGGACTGTCTTACAATTTTCTGGATGAAACTACTACAAGGTTGAATTAGCATATTTAAACTATTGATCAAAGCTAACCTTAGGGAAATGCTTGTGACTACTTTACTAATTAAGAAAAACCATAAATGAACATAACAAAAGATGGTTGCTTTTCTTTCCCTCCTTCTTAATTGTTTTTGGCCCTTGGCAAGGAAATGCCTTCCCTAGGCTGCTGGTTGTTGTTGTCCTCTCTTGCGCCTCGAGTACACCACCCACGGTTGACTTGGGTCCATGACACCCTCTTAGCAGAAAGGTAATGAACAGACCTTCCTCATAACAACGGCAGACAAACACAAGTTTACATAATTAACATCACTTTATACAACACAGGATGGCACATCAGAACATTGTACCTCATGATTCTTATTGTTACACTATATAGGTAGAACTTGGTTTGTTTCCCAAATCTGAGCAGCACAGTAGTGGGTTATAAATGTAGAATAAGTATATTACACAGTTTACGGGTACGCATACATATATGGTGATAATTGATGAATCAACATACAGTTCAGTTTCTAGAGACGGCTAAGAGAATATCACAAAAGGGAGTTCCAAAACAAAGACATGTTTTTTCAAACAAGTGATTTTGGCACAGCAATAACTAAAGAGAACAATAATGAAAACGAACCTGTTGAACCGCCTCTTCTGTAAATGGGTACCAGTACCTCATACCAACATAGACAGATACATTCTTATTCTTTGCTTCTAGTGCCAACTTAAGTGCATTTGCCTTCAAAAAAGAGTTCAATACAAATAAGACTATGCAATAATGGAATTACACAATCCAAACACAAATAATTTATTAATGATATGATGTAGCCCTAGCCTACTCTGCCATCACCAAACTGCCTGAAATAAATCAACGTCATGTTCAATGGGTTTGAAAGTCCAAAGCCCCTCCAAAATACTCCTTTTCCATGTGGATCACTTGGTGGGATAGGTTACCTCATACACAGCCCCTTGCACGAAGAGAGATTGTCAGGTTCTATATGTGTTCTCTGTCATAGTACAGAGGAAAACTCTATCCATGCTTTGCATGATTAGTGAAGTTTGGCACAATGCCGTGGGGTGGAATTTCATGGGAGATAACAAATAATGGTTGGAAGTGAACATCAGAGATAAGAATGATGTTCACGGGCTGTAATGGTGTTTTCTATTCCCTTTCTTTTGCTTTGAATTATAACGAATAGGTTTATTTTCTATCAAAAAAACCCATGACCCACCACATGAAACTGCAAGAAAAGCCATCTCTCTGGGAATGCAAAGCATCTCAAACATTGCCATTTCACACACACCGCTGCCATGCCTATGGTGGGTGTGTACTCAACCTCACCTTACCTCACCGGACTTATGTAAATGTGGATGCTTCCTTTGTTAACATTAATCTCCCGTCGAATATCAGGCACATTCTGGGACAACAATGATTTGGATCAATGGTTTTGACAAATTGATCTATGCAAATAGCCTACTTCATGCAGAATTCCTAAGCATTGTTGAAGCACTACACATTGCAAAACCAATAAAAAAAAAATTTAAAAATAATAATGATAAATAAATAAATCCAAAATGTGGTGGTCCTCTCTGAGCCTAGAGGCAACAAGAAAGCTGAAGGAGGAAAGTGTGGGGGCTGATTGTTTTTACAATATTTTTCACCTTGTGCAGGGAGTTGCAGTGGAGTGGCTGGAGTCCCAATGACGTCAAGCTTGCCTACGTAAGAAGAGAAGAAATTCGATTTGTGGATAGAATGGCAAAGAGGGGTAGAAGTCCCTATGTAGATGTAAATGTGACTAGGAACCCCCTACCCCCTAGTTATTGGTAGGACATTTACAAGTTAGATTGTAATGGCTATAAACCATGAAGCATATTAACTAATGAATGCCTTGTTCACCAAATCACAAGATATGCTAAAGAAGAAATTTGGAAAGTCCACGAAGAAAAATTGTCTCACCTGCTCATCAGTTATCTTTCTCAAAGGTGAACCCCCTCCTATCGAAGCGTATCCTTCCTTGCTTTTAGAGGCTCTAAGCATAGAAATTAACCTAGCAAGGGGTCTTTGCAGAAAACGAAACAATGATGGAAGGCGAATGATGTCCTGTCCAATGGTTAAGAGACACAATTTAGATACTTCGTATACATTATAGCTTTAACTACCTTAACAAAAGCAAACAAACTTGTCCAGGGAGCATACTGGGTCAGCAAATAGATTAAACAAGAACGGCTGAACATCGTTAAGAGTATCAGGTCCTCCAAGATTCAGTAGAAGCACCCCAATCTTTTCCTCTGCAACATAAGAGGGATCTTTTGCCAGGTTTTCATCGTATGCGCTTGTGTATAAAGCAGCAGAACAAAATGTTTTTCCCACACCTACATTACTTCTCTTCTCTGGTTGAAAATAAGACAATCCACTGATGTTGCTGCTTTTACTGTCAACTGAGTCAGAAGAGCCATATGAAGAATTCTTACATGTATATCTACAAGGAGGGATGTAATTTCTGATTTGTGGACTTGACCTGCCATGATGCAACATCAAGGTGTAAGAAGCAGGAGCGACATTCACTCGAAGCCAATCAACCCGATTTGACAATACTAGCATGTCCTACATCCATCCGGGTTTCATTCCTATATTTCATGTTTTTAGACTTGGTTGCTACATTTCTAGTATAAAGACTTCATCGCTACATCTCTAGTTTAAACTTCAAAGGTTCCATTGCCGCATTTTTACTTTAAATTACACTATCGACGTGACAACTAATTCCAAGCGGCCAGAGGATTATAGTATGGACATTGCAAAGGCAGGAAAGAAATAATTACAGAAATGAATTATGGAGAAAACAAGAGTACAATTTACGGTGCAACTCCAACGAAAATTTGTCATTAATTGTAAATTGAACATGTAAGTTATCCCCAATTCAATAATTGAGAGATTCAAATGGGCATTATTAATTTGAATCAAATCCCAGAAAAAAAAAAAATGCAACCAAAAACAACAAATCAATCAAACAAGCTGGAATAAACATCATAATTTTCCAATCAAAGGGTATGATCATACCCATGAACAATTTCAAATCAAATTCAAAGATCAAAATATGAGTATGTTAAAATTGATCCAAGCATGCAAGAATGACAAAATGGAATCATTTCGTAAGAAAATGAAATAAAAATGGCAAGTCCAAAAACTCACTTGAGGAATCTAGGTTTGAAATTACGAAGGGAGGGAGATGATAATCTCATCTGCGAAACCACAGTGGAGCTCGAGGTTGCATCCATGGCGGTGATTAATAGATATCCAGAAGCCGCAAAGCTGAAATTTGGCAGTTGCAAGATCAATTACACAGATTTTTTAAATTTTTTGATGGGTGTTTGTAACTTTGTACGCATGAGATTTGTTTTTTTTTTTTTTTTTTTTTTTTGAGTAATTTTTTTTGGGTTGTTAAAGGGAAAAATTGACATTTACTACCACAATCAAAGCAACATGCATCACATTTACTATCCATTTAAAAAAATATTTTATATTACTACCACCCAAAATCACATAATTTAAATTGGGGAGTACTAAATGCAGGATAATTTTACCTAAATGCAGAATAAATTATTTTTTTTTAAAAAATTATGTTCTAATTTTGTCCTTGTTTTAACTTAGGTAAATACAAGTTAATTTCTGAGATTCACAAAATTTGTGTATCACATGGCAATTTTGTAAATAAATCAACAACTTTTTCCATAAAAGTGGGTCCTACAGTAATGATGACTGGATAAAGTTGTTGATTTATTTACCAAAATGTCATGTGATAAACAAATTTGTTCCAGAGATTAACTGGGGCTTCCTCTTAACTTAATCCTTTACACTTTTTTAAATGATTAAAATTAAATCATGTAAACTCCTAACTATATAATCATCCCAACTATTTAATTTACAATCATATTCTAACGTATTCAATCTTGTATCCTATTTAATACGGAGTATTCAATACTATACAAATTCCTAAACAATAATGAAGTGCACTACGACATTTTTTTTGAGGTATGAAAATTATATGATGTAATAGATGAACAATCAAACAACATAAAATTTCCATCTTATATGGCTAAGATTTTTGAAGGTCTCTAGCATCCCCCATTCCCCCTTATACAATTTCCGGGGGTCTCAAGAACCCCCCGGCTAGGATTTCCTGGGGTCTCCAATACCACCCCGGCTATGATTTCCAGGGGTCTCCAATACCCCCCGGCTAAACTTTTCGGGGGTCTTCAGTACGGGACTTGTTATTCATCGCCCGCAAATCTCTACATAAAGCCCACATTTTATAATTTTTTGACAAATTTGCCCTTTTTATAATTTTAACCGAAGATAAATTTTTCGCACTAAAAAAATGTGGAGCAGCATCGGATCGCCGAGGATCACCGGAGAATCGCCGTCGTCATCGGAAAACGAGGTTCGTAACGCATCGTAAGGACGAAATGGTGGCTGGCGCCTAGCCAAAAGGCCATGCCGTGGTTGTGGCGCCTAGCCAGGACGCCGCCACCGTGGTAACGGCGCCTGGTGGAGAAGCCTCGACCATGGTAGTGGCGCCTGGTCAGGACGCCGGAGCCACGGCCAGGGCGCCTGGCCAGGACGCCGCCACCATGGCGGCGGCGTCCTGACCAGGCGCCCCGTCCGTGGCTCCGGCGTCCTGACCAGGCGCCCTGGCCGTGGCTCCGGCGTCCTGGCCAGGCGCCACTAGGGGAATATATTTTTTTTTTACTTTTATTTTTTATTTTTTAATTTAATCCCCTTTTTTTTTTTTTTTTTTTTTGGTTTTGTTTTTGTTTTTGTTTTTATTTGTTTGTTTGTTTTTATTTTTGTTTGTTTTTCTTTTTTTTTTTTTTTATTTTTTAATTTGTTTGTTTATTTATGTTTGATAAATTTGAAATGAAATGTGTGTTATTATTTTGTTTTTTAAATGTATTATGCGTTAAATATAAAAATGATATTTAGAAATTTTAATGTAGTTATATTTATACGTTATATGTTATTGTTACAGGATTATGGTGGAGACGGAAATGATTACAGTGGGATTTTTGTACATGATGGCCTGTTCGAAGATGCTCAACAAGCGATTGATTGGGCAAAACAGGTTGCAATTAGATCAGGCTTTTGTTTAGTAGTAGCAACTCATAAATCTCAACGGGATGGTAGAATGGATCGCATTTTGAGATGCGACCGTTATCGCAAAAGAGAAGAACGAGATTTCAGTAAAGCGATTCGGTTTGACTCAAAGCGGAAAGGTTGTGGGTGTCAGTTCCGAGTTAAGGGTTACATCCTCATCAAGTGGCAGCCAATCATCGTCGTCGGTGAATATGCCCGGCACCGGTAAGACATTCGACTTCAATTTCTTTTGTTGACTGTTTGATTAGTTTACTGTTGACTTGTTTATTGTGTTTATTGATGTGTGTAACAGGGAGAATGGACATTGAACATTTTCCATATAAGGACAGGATCCCTAATATCATGATGCCATTCTTGGACGGGTGGAATGATGTCATTGCAGATGGTAACTGCGGATTTCGGGTTGTGGCGGATGTGTTTCAAATGGGTGAAGACAACTACGGTTTAGTGCGGCAGTTGATGTACAGTGAAATCGCATCAAACCGAGATGTGTATGGCCATGTGTACGGCGAGGACTTGGATAGGTCTCTGCAGCGTATCCGGTGGGGAGGGGGACCTTGCGATCATAATCATTGGTTCGATGCGCCACTTGATCTCTTTGCCGTTGCAAACATCTACAAGTGTGCAGTCATGCATTTCGGCCTTGGTTTACATAGTCGAGCCTATTATCCATGTACAACGGTTCTGCCCTGGTGTTCGCGCGAGACCGTCACTAGACCGGTAAGGGACGTTGCTATTGGATTTCTTGGGCCGTCATACAGACATTTTATCCGATTAGACATGTCACCCGATTTTCCGGTCCCACATATCATACCGAAGTGGTATGAAATTCGTAGAGCAAGCGTGGAGGGTTGGGATGCTTTGTACCATGCTCGCGTGCAACAGTGGAACAATTTAATTGCCATGTAGTTTTTGTTGATGTACACCTACCTTTTACTATGAGGCCTTGTATTGTCAATACTATGTCATTTCTATGTGTTCATTTTTAAAAGATAATATTGAATTTTAAAAACTAAGAACAATAATTTCAAATATTACAAACTAAAAAGATAATGTCTAATTTCAAATATCAGTAATCCCTCTGTGACGCCCACTGCCACTGCTCAAGGGTCCGTTCCAGATCGTCAATAACAGCTCTGCCTGATGCACTCGTCATGCAGTCCCTTTCCTCAAAAAGTCGGTGTCCCAACTGCATAATCTTGCCCATCCACTACACAAAACAAAAAACATGAAACGACGTATTATACATATATATATTAAAATAAGAGAACAACAAATAAAAGATGAGACGTACCGCATAAGAGGCAGTGGCAGGTGGCACATCGTCATCATCTGCGTCGTCGATGTCTTTGATCAACCTCGGGTGCGAGTGCCGGATGTACCATTCCATGTAGTGCTGGTCACACATGGCAGTCACCCCACATAAAAAATAAAAATATAAACAACACAATATAAATAAAAACATAAAAAATATAAATATAAACATAAAAAAATATAAATATGAACAAAACAATATACCAAAAACAAAATATATAACCAAAAACAAAAAATATAAACAACAAACTAAAAAATGAAAAACATAAACAAAAACAAAAAATCAAAAATGCAAAGAAAAAACCAAAAACAAAAAACTAACAAAACTTAAAAAATTTAAAATTGCAAAAACTTAAAAAAAAGAAGAACATCAAAATTTTAAAGAAAATTTATAAAAAAAAAGGGAACTTATAATTTTTTTACATACAAAAATATAATTCAAAAAAAAAAAAAATACATAGGAACATAAAATTAAAAATTAAAACCAGAAACAATTTTTTTTAAAAAAAAAAATAGAACATAAAATTAAAACAAATAAAAAAACAAAATTTAAAAAAAAAAGATAAAAAAAAAGGGAACATACAATTTAAAAAAAAGAAAAACAAATTTTTTAAAAAAAAAAAAAAAAAAAATTCGAAAATAAAATTTAAAATTAAAAAAAAACAAAAAAAAAATTTTTAAAAAAAAAGAGAAGGAGGCGCCTAGGCAAGACGCCCGTACGGTGGTGGCGGCGCCTAGCCCAGACGCCACTACCACGGCCGTGGCGCCTAGCCTATGCGCCGCCGCCGTGGTAGTGGCGTCTGGGCCAGGCGCCGCCACCACCGTATGGGCGTCTTGCCTAGGCGTTTCCTCCGTGGTGGTGGCGTCTCGCCTTGGCGCCCCACCGTCGCCGGAGGTTTTTTTTTTAAAAAAAAAAATTACAAAAATTTAAAAAATTAACTTCTGGCCGGCAAACCGCCTTCCGCCCACCGCCGGTGCCGCCACTTCCTTGCCGGGCCGCCTCGACATAGCTCTGGAAATAATTTAGAGAGAGAAAGTGGAAGTAGAGAGTAGAGAGAGAAATTGTGTTTTTTAGTTTGAGGGCAAAAGTGTCATTTCACTCTTATTTTGTGGGCTTTATGTAGGAATTTGCGGGCGATGTTTAACAGTTCACCTTCAGTACCCCCCGGCTAAGATTTTCGGGGGTCTCTAGTACCCCCGAAAAATAAAGTCAGGGTACTTATAATGAAAAATTATAACAATTCAACAAAAAAATTAAACGAAAAAACCTAAGACCGGATGGTTTATGAGCGGTGAACGACTTCTTCGTCTCTAGGGCTCAGATTGAAGAATTTTAAGGGAAATGGTGGAATGAAATGAATTGCAAAAAAATAAAAAATAAATGGTGACTGAAATTGTGAATGAAATGAAAAAAATTGGCGAGTATAATGAATAGCAAAATAAAAAATGTAAAAACAAAAATCTTGATAAAATGGCAAATCAGTTTTTTCATTTTGGAAAAGGGTATTTCAGTCATTTTATTATTTTCATATCATTAATTAATTTCTGCATTTAGGTTATTTTGTATTGCATTTAGTACTTGCGTTAAAATTTCACTACCATTTAACGGAATGCGCTAAGGTTCTGTTAAGTTTATTCAAAAAAAATAAAATAAATTGAAATCTTTCAAAAAAAAAAAAAAGTAACCCAGCCACCCATCCCCTCAACTGCCACCTCTTCCCTCCCCCTGTCGGCAACCGATGCCCAGAGCTTCGGCTGGCGCGAACCCACCCCCTCCCTTTCCCCCCACCCCTACGCAGCTAACGAACCCCCCTTCCCTTTCCCCGTTCTCGCTGCCCCGACCCCCACCCCTATGAAGCATTTCATTAATTCCGTACAAGCCTCAACCGTGAAATGCCTCGAACCATGGGTATGTTTGGTCGAATTTGAAAGAAAGTTAGTGGCAAACTTAAATTGATTTCTAGACGAGGTTCGATCAGATGTCTGCACCGTTTGCTCGAACCTTGAGGATTTGCGATTTGCTCTGATTTCGGGGCTGTTTGCTGCGACTTTGGCGGTTTGGAATTGCACGGTTGCTGCTGTGTGAGGTTGGGGCAGAGGTGCGGCACGACTGCAGGGGTTGCGATTGTGGGCTGGTGTTTGGAGAGGAGCTGCGCGTGGTGGCTGATTTGGTTGCAAGTTGTGGTGGTGGTTTGATGTGGTTGATGGAGCTGCTGTTGGTTTTAGATGTTGGTAATTGGAGGCAACAGCGGTGATGGTGGTGGAGATTGATGGTGGTTAGCGAGAACGGGGAAAGGGAATGGGGGTTCGTTGGCTGCGTAGGGGTGGGGGAAAGGGAGGGGGTGGGTTCGCGCCGACGCCGACGCCGGAAGGGGGGAGGGGGTGGCAGTTGAGGGGAGGGTGGTAGTGAGGTGGAGGGGAGGGGTGGCAGTTGCGGGGAGGGTGGTGGAGGGGTGGCTGCAAGGTGGTTGAACGGTGGCTATACCCAACTAACGGAAATAGTTCGGCATAAGTCACTTGGTAGTGAAATAAATATTTTGGAGATTTGGGTGGTAGCAAAATAAAATTTTATTTTAAACGGGTAGCAAATGTGAAATAGGGTGCTTTCGCTGGTAGCAAATGTCAATTTTTTCTTGTTAAATATCGCCCTCGAATATCTAACTAACGCCCGCAAAATAAAATTACGTATTTATCCTTATAATAACGATTATAAAAATAATTAATTTTACCTCAATTTCACACTTTTACTGTACACAAAACTTTTTACCGTTCTCTCTAGTGGTCAACGGCCACCAACGCTCATCGGTCAACCACCTCAATCACCGTGAGTTTCAAAATCAAACAAAATTTTTAAATTTTGCAAAATCAAATTCGTTAGATCTTATGGACAACGACGAAATACCAGAAGTACAACCTTAGACGCTCGCCAAAGGCTTGTCGAATCGCACGAAATCGGTACGTCGCGATAATTTTTTTAAAAAAACCCGAAACCCAGAAAATGCCTAGTTTTTTAGAATACCTTAGGCTGAAACGCCTAGTTTTTTGAATACCTTTTGAATAGCCTCGGGTATTCTAAAAAACTAGGCGTTTCACCTCAAATGCCCAGATTTTTCATACAACCACACGATTGTTCGAACTAGGCGTTTGAGCCTAGATGTGCGAAAAATCTAGGCGCTTGCCGCGAATTCAGAAAATAATAATAAAAAAAAATCTTTTCTCCGCCTGCGACCGATTTCCCTTTGTCCTTACTCGTCATTACCGCGGCTGTGTAGATCATGAAACCAGAGGTAAGGAGTTGGTGTTTAAAAGAGGAGGAGGAGGTGGTGGTGATGGTTGTAGTGGTGGATAGTATGAAGAGATGGTGGTGGTTATTGTTGTTTAGAGAGTGAATAAGGAGTGAGTGAAAAAGGGTAAATTTGTAATTTTAATTTATTTTGCGGGCGTTAGTTAGATATTCGAGGACGACGTTTACTTTACCACTTTTTTTTATATACTACTTTCTATTTTAGTCACTTTAGTATTATTTATTTATTTTTGTTTTAACAGTAATGCTATATGTAACCCTTAACACTGTTAATAAACATTTAAGATCTTTCTTGATTTGATACGAACATTAATTTAGGAATTTATGACAAAAATAACACGCAAATAAGTGTATTTATTTTTATATTTTTATTTGTTTTTTTTTTTTTTCCATTTTTAGCTAAATAGCCATAAGGGCTTATAGTATTTTTCTTATTTTAACCACCACCAATTCACAAAAACACACTATGCCTTGTAACTTTGTAAGTCCCAAAAAAAAAAAAATCAACCTCTTTTCTTAATACCGATTAAGAGCCTCTTCACATTCACTGAACTGAACATAACTGAAGTGATTGGAGCTGAAATAAACTGAACTCAATTGAACTGAAATGAATATTTTATAAAAGAAGGAAATTAGGAGCTGAGCTGAACTGAACTGAAATGAATATTTTATAAAAGGAAATTAGGAGCTGAGCTGAACTGAACTGATTGAAGCTGAACTGAACTGAAATTAAGCTGAAGTGAACCGACCTTAAGTGATTTCTTGTTGAACGTGTCTTTGTCGTATGCACATGATCCTGGACTTCCATTACATTGAGGAGCCTCCATGGGTTTGTGCAAAACTTAGTACTGTATGTGAAATCCTTAAAAGAAATATGCCTACTGTTGGTATGAATAGACACCAATTTTATTGAGAAAAAAAAGTCTGTAGTCTGCCATGATGAAACATGGGTTCTTCATGTTCAGCCTCGTTATCAAATTCAAGATATCTTTATAAAATATCTTCCAGGTGATTTTTGTGAAAGTCTAAGCATATGAAAACCTCCCACTTTGATCACAGGAGTGTAACAAAAAATGATCTCTAATTATATTCATAGTTAACAAATCAATGGATCAAGCAATTTTATTGTCTTAATAAATCAAGACCTAACACACTCAGTTTTGCCACTAAACCAAGACCTCATTGATTCTAACAATAGACATGTAGTTAGTAGGTAGTTTGTAGATAAACTACTGATAGTGTGATGTTCAACTTTTGTTAACTTCAGTCATCAGACCGGCCAAACGAATCCTTATTGAAGCAACTGCAACAGCTTTTGGCACTACTTCATGGTAAAGAAGCTTTGCTATTATCAATACTGTGTCCTAAATAGAGTGATCGATCTAAAACTCTTGTTTTGGATGTGTCCAAATAGTACTCTATATATACTTCACATATATCTGTATAAATATGAGATACCAATCATGAATATGTCCACTTTCTGATGAAAGAAATATAAGGAAAAGTTCTTGATTAGAAAGTCATACTTATATACAGGGAAGCTAGCAAAGTAGATAACTTATGTGAATGAACTATCTGGCGAAGCATTGCTGCAGCCATCTTTGCCAATGCACCAGACGCGGCTGGAACTAGGTGTTGCAGTGACTGAGCTAGATTTTGCATCGGTACTAGAAGAAATCTCTGAATCAGAACATCTGCTAGGGTTTGAGTCACTAAAATACCCATCCACTTTGTTCATTCGTTCAACTAGGGAGTGCCTTATATGTGGGTTGCCTATGGGGCTATCCAGTATTCCGTTGATGAAAGATACTGATGAAATATAGGGCGTTGGCATTGGGGAATTGGGATTGCTCGAGTGATCTTCTTGTAGGATATCTCCGATCCTTGTTAGTATGCTGTAAGCCAGGTTTCCAAGAACTCTGGAATATGCTTCAAGAATGGAATGTCCAATATCCTATTGAAAAAGAAAAACATATTAGAAGTCCAGCAAAAAAATCAAATACAACGTATACATGTTCTGAATGACTTTATTTTAATGATTATGTAGCAATTAGCCAGAAACAAAAAAGATTTGCTACTTAAAAGGTTATTCTTGGACTAGAGCTTGAAAAAAGAACATCCTTGGAGAACCCTCATTAGAGGTCATACTGTATCCAGTTATACTAACCTTGCCATACTGTATTTTCGTGACATCGAGGAATGTGTGAGGAAGGCATGGATACCTCATCTTCAACTGACACAGAATTGCATCTACAGAGAGCAATAGTGACTCAGACTTTTCCACCTCAGGTATGGGCTCCTTCATAAAGCGCCAGGATTTTCTGACAGGAGTCTTGATACCACTGACTTGCTCTTTGATTTTTTCTCTCCATGCTAGTGCTGCAGCCTCCAGCTTATTGATAATGTCAAGAGCATCATGTTCAGATCTCAGTTTCAGGAAATCAATGATTTCAGATGCTGAGCTTGATCCCGAGGCTATGACTTTATACAATTCCTCTCCCAGACAAGCCCTTCCAGACTGCATTAAGTAAGATATTTTCATGAATTGAAACACGAGGTAATTTTACTCAATAACTGCAATGAGTTACAATAAACAGCAATGTCTAATGCTTAGAAAGAAATAAAAATGGGCTTGCCTTGGGGAGTGCATCTTGAATGCCTTTAGGAACTGGCATTTCAAGCAAGATATTTTCGTTGATGGATTTGGCAGCCTTGAAAACCTGATGGACCATATTACCCTGAGAAAGCAACTTCTTTCGGGCAGTTTCTGAGAGACCACCAGCTGGGACTCGTGGAGACGGAAGCCACCACCTTCTGCTCTGCCTTTCACTCCCCCCTCTTCCATCTTTTCGGCTATTGCCTTCTGCATACCAAAATTCTGTCTCCACCATCGAGTTCAGAAATTCCTGATGAATTTAAATTCCATAGGTTATGTTAGATTGGGAAAAAATGGCTTTTATTTTCTCTCTTACAATAAAAAGGCTCCTCCGTTCATAATATAACAATTTATACATTCAATGGAATGAAGAGATCACCTACAATTAGCATAGAGTCAATCTTCTGAAGTGCTGGAAGGTTGATATGCACATCTGCACGAGCTTTGGGTGTCATTATCTGGTCCAACATCCAAAAAAACTGAAGTTAGAACAAGATTATCTTAATAAAAGTAGTTCAAAGATTGTAGAGGAATAGGAGGCACCTCAAAGTTCTGACCATTAGTATCACTTTGCTTAGCAGGAACCAATTCAACCATATAATTGGCAGGCGAAAGTAACCAATCCATCTCCTTTTGCCACTTAGCGCTATTTTCTTCAGATAAAGGTTCCAACTTCCACAACTCCCCGAAAACAGATGCTGTAGTTGTTAATTAACAAAGTTAACAACTGGTAAGAATGAAAAGAATAGTGAACTAACAGTTAAACAAAATCGATACCTGCAAGGTTTGTTATTGAGTTTGATATTGCTAGTGCACTGCATATGCCTTTGCGTCCTCCAGTCACATCCTCACCTAACAAAAGTTTCGCGAATTTCTCTTTCATAGCCTCCACATCAGAGAACTGAGTAGTATAAGCAGCTCTGTCTTTGACATAAATATGTTCTGGGCTTTCTGGGACACTCCACTCATCTGTTTCTTCATGGTTCCTCTTCATAGTCCTATCAGAAAAGAAAGATCCGAAAGCATCTTTGCTTGATGAGCAGCTGGTTTCTCCTCCATTAAAAGAATCTGCTGGACAATCATTCTCCCCACAGATTGAATTCTCATTTGTGTACAATCGACTGTTGAAAATGCAACTCTCGAGACCATCATATGTCATGATTCCTGAAAGATGTTTGTATAAATTAATGCGACTATATGTAACATACAAAAAATGATGACAAATTTACAAGGCATATTCCCATTGAGAGTAAAAGATATAGTTTCATCTTCAGTTTCAAAAGTGACACATTCAAATTTCAGAGTGATTTTGCAAGAGATTAAGCATGAAACAAGCATATATCAACTGGTTAACTTGACCTTACACTAAAGAAAGTGATCCTTTATAGTCGAATTTAGTTTGATCATAGACGGTCTTTAGGTAAATAAACAATAACAAACGAATTAAAGTGTTATGAGCATATGGTAGTTCACTTTGAAATGAAAATATCAGGAATCACATTGTAAAGCAGATAGTTGAAGTATTTGACAACATTTACCTGATGTAAAAACTGATCTAATTTTTTTCGAAAATTTAAGGTCCAAAACCCAAAACCCGAAATAATAAAATAAGAAAAAATTAGTTTATTACTGCCCTAAGTCACCCAAACCAACCTATACCAAAGTACCCAAACCCGAATACACCTGACTGGGCGATTACAAGTCTGCCTGTGCTTGCATTTTGATATACAGCTATTTCTCGTTAACCCTTAGCACAGGGACATAAGGAACACAATTCTATTGCATATATAAGAATATAAGATACATTTACATCATAGAAGTGCAAAGATGGGGAAGAAAGAAAAGAAAATGAGTCTAGTTTATACCCTAAGTCTCAACACTTTAATATTAGAGTAAAAAAATAAATAAAATGGAATCATAACCACAATAATAATTACTAGGATATTTTCCTTTTCTAGGCAATATTAACATATCCTTAAGATATGCATATCTTACCCAAAAGGAATAGTATAAGTCAATAAGAATCAATAATAGACTAATAGTTAATAAAAAAAAAGGAGGAAATAAGTATTATACTACGTATTTGGCAAAGTAATTATTCACAGAGTACATACCTCAAAAAGGGAAGAAAAAGAATGGGCCCAACAGAATAACTACTGCCTAAAACATCATTAGTCAAAGATTCCCTCAATTGGGCCTATGACCCAGCAAGGTTGTCACTTGTCAGGCCTTAAAAATGGATGATCCAGTGGGTGTGCAATTATGAGTTTATTACCACCAAGAATCAACAAATTTTCGTAGTCTTTTTTATTTGGTGAGGAAATTATAGAAATTATAATCTACTTTTTTCTTTTTTTTTTTTTTTTGAGGAAAAATTATAATCTACTTAAACTATAACAGAGATTCAATTAATATGTCAAAAATTATGTTGCTATAATATAATGCCTACAAATATCTTAGAAAATACGGATTTACTTTCATATGCAAAAAATTATGACATGTATTTTGATTTACTTCAGAAAAAATGTTCTAATTTCTTAGAGCAACTACAATGGTTGGCTAAAATTCATATAATAGCTTGTTGTGCCACATCATCTTTTTAAGCTACAACAATTCTAGCTATTTGTTGCTCCAATGGTTAAGCTAGTTATAATTTAATTTATTTTTAAATTTAAAATATTTTTTATCTAATAAATATTTACCAAGCTAATTAGCTCTACAAAGCTAATTTGCTTGCCAAAACTAATCAGCAAGATGTGCAACAATGGTATAGTTATTGGTTTATAAGTTTTAATATTTACAAGCTAGTCCCTTTTTTCAACCATTGAAGTTGCTCTTAAAGATAAAAGACTGAGAAAATACAAATTCGAACAAATTAATTACTTAGATCCTACTTTTTAGTTGTATAAGAAAAGTTATAATGGGTCCAATTGTTTAATATTGGAAGAATTAATTTGTTTTAAAATAACTTGGAAATGTTATTTTCAAAACCATTAAGAAAAATACAAAAAATGTGATAAGTGCGCAACTCATACATTGATAACACGTAAACAAGAGGGATTAGGGAAGCATTCAACCATAGGAAATTTCCGTGGACCTCTTTTTTTTAATAAAAACACTTTACTCTTCTACAATGTATTTTCTTCATACCTCTTTTTCATAAGAGAATAAGACTTCAGAATACAACAAATTCTCCTTCCCCTATTACAACATTTTTTTTTTGACACAACATTACCTTCATCCTTTTCTGTTTCCATATACTTCTTATGACACAATTTCATGTGCTTGGACTATGCAAGTGTTACATATTCTACCTCACCTTCTTTTTAGGGGGGAAAATTACAAGAATATATTCAACTTTTGTCGTATTCTTTTGTCAATCTCACATTTTAATTTTAAAATTATGAGCAAGTCTTTTCAATTTTAATTCTCAAAATTATAGGGGGTGTTTGGTATGAAAATTTGTAACATAGGAAACGTAAACAAATAAGTGTTTTCAATTCTATAAATTTGGTATGAGCTATAAGTAACAAATACCGTTTCCAAACGGTAACAAAATCCCCCAAATTGTTACCCTGGCCTTATCCAACTAGTGGAAACAAAAATGTGTTTCCCTCCTCAATCATAAACTCCTCAATTTATTTCCATTTTATAAAGATACCAAACATATATCAAAGGTAACGTGTATCATTACCCTTTCCCTTATATAAATCCTTTCCATTCCGTTTACGGAATTTATACCAAAGGCCTCCTTAGTTGTGAAGATGAATCAATCCAACATTTATAACAATTTAAACTTTATCAATAGAATAATCCCCTTCGATAAATAAATAATACAGAGTACTTTGTAATATTTAGAGTTTAAACATCAAATAACTATTTTATCTAAAGATCAATTTATTATAATATGGTTCTTAAAGCATGGAATAACATTACTACATAGATAAAAAGAATAAACTCACAAATTTAAAAATTCGAACTAATTTAGTACTGCACAGTTGCACACAAGCAAAGGAACCAATGGAAAATTGAAAAGGACCTTTTACTCCAAAAAAGTCTAATTAATCCATACATTTCATGGGAAATAGTGCAATTAATTAGTTTTAAAACTCATGAAAAGTAGCATTAGACAATATCCAACAACTCATTTTATAACATTTAAAAATGTGTGTATGTTATGCCAAAGTCAAACTAGAGTAGCAAAAAGACTCCCCTACCTTGAGCCAAAAAATGTTGGTGCTTTTTTTTGAATTTGACAACCAAAAATCTTTTATGCATATTTACTGTATCCTATGACCTGGCTTATTGTTTACACCAGAAATTATATGTATGATATTCTAGGAGAGTGCTTGTACATCAAAATCTTCGTTCATGGTCATGTACGATCTAGTTCTCTTTTTTTTTTTTTTTCATTTAACGTGTTGTTTTATCCAATTACACTTGTATTTATATTTATATCCGTTTCCATACAATCTAAATTATTAACATGTTTTATATTTTTGTGACATTGTTGAATTTGTTAGTGGACCAATTCAACCAAAAGCTTAAGCTGATAGTTGAGGCCCAAGAATATGTTTTATACTCTATCACTCCCCCTCACATGAAAGGTCCTTTGGGCTTGAAATGTGGATGCAACACAGGCCCACCTATACCTGGTGCGAATTAATTCCACTTTGAAGGAGGGACGGATGAGATTCGAACCCGTGACCTTTAGTGGACCAACTCAACCAAAAGTTTAAGCTGATAGTTGAGGCCCAAGAATATGTTTTATACTCTATCAGGATTACTAGTAGGTCTTTCTTACACGTTTTTAGAAACTATATGACAGATTTGTATACAACTAAGTCCAGCTTGTACATCAGTACATTCATTTCAACAAAAAAGTCCAATTATATATGTTTAGTTGTTTACAATTGCATCTATCTTGCTTCATCCCGAAATTCCGAATTGACAATTTCATTAGCAGATTTTATTATGCTCCCTGATTTACGCCCATTGAAAGTGCCAAATTACCGAATTGAGCTATAGTAACATTATACTCCGCAATAACTTTTTGATTCAACTATTGCATTTTTTAAAAATATATAATATCTCACATGTATATACTTCCTATATGAGTAGAACAAACAAAAACAAACGTAGTACGGAGTAGTAGAACTCGTATTTCCGAACATGTGGACTACTCCCTTCTTTTTTATACGAAATACAAGAAGAGGCACACAAGATGTCAAGATCTACATACATATTACATAGTACGGAGTAATAGATTAGCCTCTAACCAGATCTCGATTAATGAGTATAAAGAATAATGTAGGTTTTTTTTGTTAATGTTTGGGTAACGTTTTGTTTTATTCATGGTTTGTTTCTTTGGACCATAAAATATGTCTACTCCGCAGCATCTAAAGCCAATGACGCACGTTGATAGCCATGTGCCTCAGTCCCTTATTGAAGTAATACAACCTTAGTTTATGTCACACTTACTTTGCCATTCCCGAATTAAATACTCTACCAAATTCGAGTGATGCTACACATACAATGGTTGTATGGGGACTACCACATACAATACCATTGTATGTATGCCACGTCAAAAAGAAGTAAAAAAATAAAAGGAAAAAAAAGAGGGAAAAAGGTGGGCCCCAAAATGCAAACCAATTAAATGCTGCCAACAATGGTTATATGTGGATGGCCCACATACAACCATTGTATGTGTAGTCTTTTCCAATTCATTCACAAGTAACTTATCGTAGATATAAATAAACTTGTCATTTTAATTGTGTACTCGTAATATTCATCATACAACCAGTTGTACCGTATACCCCGTGTAAATCCGTGTAATCAAAGTAAACTCATTAAGCATTTAAGAGGGGGCAACCAGATACTATTTCAGCAATAATAACATGATGGCTATATAATATCAAACATAATAAAAATAGGATGGTGAAATGTAACGGAAGAAAATGAAATGTATAGGAAGAAGAGAGAGAAAGTGGAAGCTTACTGTTGTTATGTTCATTCTCATCAAAATCAATGCTAATATCTCTACTGTCTCTCGTACAGCAAGCCAAACTCTTCTTCATCCCCATCCTCATGTTTAATTTTGCTTGTGTGCCCACCAGTCCACCACTATACATAAATAAATATTCACCCATTAATTAATCTTATATACACAAATTACATGTGTTAATTATTCTAATTATATTAGATACGGAGTATTTAAGACATTTATTTTTGGTAAGAGATCATTAATCATGGTAATAAATACAAAGTAAGAAATATGACACAATTACAAGAAATTACTGAACCTTTTTATAGTAATCACTTAAATTTTCTTTATCATATAATTTCATTAATAATACTCCATCCGTTCATGTTTTCTTTTAGCATTTATTACTCACATAATAATAATAAAAAAAAAAGATTTAATTAAGAGACGGAGGTAGTACATTATACAAGTAATCATTAACACTCCGTAATCATATGTAGTAATAAACGATAATGATGCCGTGCGGCCCGTGCACACTCACATATTCACATTAGTCCATGTAATACTAGTATTACCTACCAATTAAGTACCTCATAACAACAAATAATTAGAAGTAATGAACCATATTCCATTATAATCACTCATATAGTCAAAATCATAACTATTTCAAACTATATCAAATTGGTAATTAGGACTTAAAATCCGACTTAGAAATTCCATATTTGCGAATAAATGCGCGACTCATTTCATATAGTACTCAAATTACTTTTGCTTTCACCTGATTACCTTTTAAAAATGAAATCATAATAAAGAGAAATAACTTTAAACAAAAATCATTGAAATATTCCCAAAAGATCATTTCATATGTACCAAAATAAACAGATAATTTCAACAGGACCCCCATTACATAATTTTTTTTTCTTCAGAAGTTAGAAAAATAAAAATTGAAGAAGAAGGAATGAAAACACACCTGAATCAGAGATGAGTAATGAAATAGTAATTCCGAAGAGTAGGAGAGAGAAAGTTTCAATTGGAAGACGAAAGAAGGGAGTGGAAGAAAGTATGAACCATCGACGCCATTCACGAGCAAAATGTGAAGATAAATCCCACTAACATAACATAACACACAAGAATCAATTGAATTTATTATTCATTCCATCTGAGCAGATAGATAAATAATAATATTCCGAGAAAAATGAGTAATAATGTAAATTAAAAACGAGTAATGTGATAACTAAATTTGGACGGGGAGCGAGATAAGGGTAGAGTAAAGAGTAGGAGTATTATTACCTGGTACGGGACAATGGGCTAATAAATTTGAGCAGAGGAGTGGGTGAAAATATTGAAGGAGAGGGAGTTTTGAGTGATAAACCAAATAAATGAGACAGAAAAAAAAAAAAAAAAAAAAAAGATTGAATATTTTTTTGGGGAGGAAGCCAGGAAGGAGTTTTTTAATTGGAGGAGAGAAACTGAGGAAATAGGTAATGGTGGGTCCAAGGGTAAAATTGGAAATTAAGGTTGGGCTTTTATTTTTTGTACGTAGTATTTTTGGGTTGAGAAGTGAGATGTGGGTGGGACGTAAGAGGTGGGGAGTTGTTTTTTTGATGGGCTCAAATGTGAGTGGAATAGGTGCCTAGCGTCAAATCGTCAATCCCTATATAATTTTTTAAAAAAATATTTTGAAGTTAAACTAATTTTTCTAGGGTATAGTTGGGGACTTGGGGATACTTTGATTGACATTTTACAAAAATATTCAATTTTTTAGTTTGTTACCATTTAAATCAGGAAAATGGCGTTTGTGATGACAAATACTAATTTTACTCCCGTTACATATTATTTGCAACGATTAGGAATTATAAACATAACAAAAGAATATATACTCATAAAGTCATAGAGCAAATTAGTTCAACACTTAGATAAAATAAAAAGGTACATAAAAAAAATGCTTAGAATATCATAATCAAAATGCTAAGTGTTTTATGGTCCAAAGAAAATATGAAAATTTTGTAGCCCAAAAAAAATTCCTTCCTTTAAGGGTAATGCTATATGTAGCCCTAAGGGGTATATATAAGCATTAAATATACTCTTGAAAATAGTATAAAATTAGGAATTCATGACAAAAACACACGTAAATCAGTGTAATAAGTGTTTATATTTTCATGATTTCTTAACTTTTTACGATTTTTAAGAGTAAATTTAATGTTTATATGTAGCCCTAAGGGCTATGTATAGCATTTTCCTATTTTTAATTAACAAAATTTTCATATTAATGACAATTTACTTTACCTCTTTGGCTTTGAATCATTCTTATTCCCAATAAGCAAATCAAAGCAAAAATCACCGTCCCAAATACTCTATATATATATGCAATAATACATCTAAAATATATCAAAATTATGACTTGACATCATCTATAACCGCTAATACTAGTGTTATCATCACCGTATTCATCAACATCAAAGGATGATCAAGTTTAAAGAGAAGATACTAAGTCTTGTTTGGGAGTTAGCCGATAGATGTTCATGTTAACAGGTTTAACTACTTGTTGGTTGTATTAAATGATTTGACTAAATAATTATATAAATAACTGATTGTGTAAAATTATTTGATAAGTTATTGTTAGGGCCTGTTCTCTTACATTGAAATTCAGTTTAGTTCAGTTCAGTTCAGTTCAACTCAGTTTAGTTCAGTTCAGTTCAGCTCCTAATTTTCTTCTCTTATAAAATATTCATTTCATTTCATTTCAGTTCAGCTAAGTTCAGTCAATGAGAACAAACCCTTAATTATTAGCTATTTCAATGTATGTAATAATAATAATAAAAAAAATGTCCACATTGCTATATCAAAGTACTTAGTTTTAAAGTCTAAAGTTAGTTGTGTACTTGTTTTAGAATGGTTATATATCTAATAGACCTCAATAAGCTAAAAATTTTCTAAACATCTCTTTCCCAAACAAAACCTAAAACAAATTACTAGTACAAAGTTTATCATATGCAAATGCGTTTATGCACTTTCGTGCATTGATTTTCGTTATTATTCAAACCATATTATATTGGGGCAAAAGGGTTGAGGTAGGAATTTGTGAAACAATTTGAAAATGCTAAAGTCAACACCAACATAAAGTAACAATAAAAAAAATGTCCCATCCAAAATTCATATTGGAAGTCAACAACTACTACGAAAAATTATTTAAAAGTCCAAGAATTCAAAAGAAAAACATTCAAAAAAATATAAGATTGTGCTTTAATTTTTGTTTTATGATAAAATAATAATAGTATGTTTGTTCCTACAATACAAACAAATTACGATGTATATATTATATTTGTTACAACTCAACGGGTTAATTCTCCACTTTATATCTTATGCAAATTTTATGTTTAGTTACTAAAATGCAATTTTGCAGAATTAAGGGAAGAATGTTGCGAAATGGAGCGTGGATTTTGATGAATGTCGATGAAATTGGGGTTAGTATCGCTAAACGCCGGGGTAGTACCGTTGTAGTTTTACAATAAAAGGTTTCCACCCCTTTGCCACTAACAACTTAGGGTATATACACCTCCAATTTCTTATGTCATTAATTTTGGATTTATGTTGCACTAAATTAGTTGATATTCACACACTATTTTATTAATGCATTAATCATTTAAACTAAGTTAGTTGATATTCACACGATTTTGGATTATCTAAATTTGATAATTTTGCATTTGTGATAGTATGTTTTCAATATACTACATGTGCAATCAATGAGAGAGTGGGGCATTGTCTCACTGTTTGGATGGATAAGAGCTATACAAATAGTTATTGGGTCAAATTCAAATTGTTTAGCAAAGGCTTTGTATAAGATATTAAGATATAAATAACTGATTAATTAGCTAGTAAAACTTCTATTAACTAAAAAATATATATAAAAAAAAATGATTTTTTACCATAAACTATTTAATAAAACCTAAATTTTATGAGAAACTACTTAGTAAAAAAAATTGTTGTAAGAAATTACCTAATAAAAGGTAAAATAAGATACTAATTTTAGCCGAATTTCCACCGTTGATCTAATTTTACGACATTAACCCATCTCAAAACATCCCCAAAACCACTACCACTGCAAGGGTTGGTTTTTAAGGTGTTAAGGTTATATTCAGGGTGGTTGAAGGATATTCTAAGTTGGTGAGGATAAGTTTGTGCTTCGGGTTAATGGTGATTTTGGGGTTAGAGGTGGTGCTTTACGGGTTGGAGGGTGGTTTGGCGTGGTGTAGGCAATTTCAAGCAGATTGTGTTAGATTTTGGGATGAAAGCGGTAGTAAAGCAAGTAAATTTCTTCTGAGAATGAGTTTAGCTTTGGTTCGAGCTTGCATCAATTCTTTGATATATTACTCATGTTGTATGTTAGATTGCTAGATTCAAATTAATTAATTAAGCTAATGTCCAATTAGATCAACTTTAATTTTGATTGTATTTAGAATGCATGCGACCAAATCAAATAATTAAGATCATATTTAGCTTAATTTATGTGAAGGTAATAAGGTAGTAATTTGTGTGTTATTGGTAAGCTTATAAATTAATTAATAAATGGAAGATGTTAAATACGCATACATAAAGTAATGATGATGATGTAAATAAAAGTATGACAAAAATAAGGATGATCGAGAATTTAAGATAGACTGTCGAGTAGGGGTGTACAAAAATTGGCCCGGACCTGAAACCGGACCTGAACCGACCTGAACCGGACCGGACCTGACCCGGACCTGTTGATTCAGGTCCGGTCCCGGTTCTTAAAAATCCAGGTTCCCGGTCCCGGTCCGGACCCGGTCCAAACCCGGGGTTTTCAGGTCCGGACCTGAAACCCGGAAAATCGTAATTTAAAAAAAAAAAAGAAGAAAACCAAACTCTGAAAAATTGAAACTGAGTTTTCGTGGACTTATTTGTATTTTCGGTGGACTCATTTGTATTTTTGGTGTTTGAGAATCGGGACTTTATAGACTTTATGTAGTTTTGTAATTGATAATTTTGGTTTGTATGTAATTATTAAATTATGCAACAGGTCTAAAAATCACAAAACAGGTCCATATGCAGGTCCAACAGGTTTTGTATTAAAAAAAAAACGAAAAAGACACAAAACAGGTCCATTCAGGTCCAAACCCGGACCGGACCTGATTTTTCAGGTCTGGCCCGGAACCGGACCTGTTAATTCAGGTCCGGTCCCCGGTCCTCGTAATTACCCAATTCAGGTCCCCGGTCCAAACAGGTCCGGTCCAGGTCCGGTCCGATTTTGGACCGGTGTACACCCCTACTAGTGTCGAGAGTTTTAGTTTAGCGCACAAGCTAAAGGGGGAACAAAACGGCGCGGACCAAAGTCCTGCTCCTGCATGCAACTCTGCTGTCTGTAGTTAAGTTAAGAACACAATATATTTAGAAACAAATCATTGCTAATACATTTTTCAAATCCATTCATAAAGTAGTCAAGTTTTTTTTATTATTTTTTTTATTTTTTATTTTTTAATTATTACGAGTATTTTTTTATTTTTAATATGTATATATATTTATTTTTGGCAAATTAAAATAATTGTTATGGATGCAAATTAAAGTACAATAAAGAATGCTTTTTAATCATTTTCTCATTAAGCGGAACTCCAAATAAAAAATCTACAACGTCTATAATAATAGTTCTTCTGTCATTTTGTTTAGAGAAAATTATAATGACAACTCTTTAAATAAAAGAAATTATTCCTATAGCTTATATTTTTATTTTCTTAGACATATGTCAAGATTATCTTAATTAAAAATTAGATAAATCTCGAGCGTAGGCATAGAAAAAAAAAGTGAGAATGAAATCTTAATTGGGGTCATTTTGCTCAAAAAAAAAAAAGGATCACCATTATAATGTAGCAAAAATTAAATGTTACGATTGAAAATTTTACAATTATCATATAACTAATATATAAAGCTAAACTTTTAGCCAGAGCATGAGACAACGACACTTAGGGCCTGTTCTCATATGTTAAAATTCAGTTCAGTTCAGTTCAGTTCAGCTCAGTTCAGTTCAGTTCAATTCAGTTCAGCTCATGTGTAATGATATTGCTAATGATATAAAGCCAAATTTCATTCTTTTAAGCTCTTATTACAACAACGATAATAATAATAATAATAATAATAATAATAATAATAATAATAATAATAATAATAATAATAATAATGATGATGATGATGATGATGATAATTAAATAATAATAATAATAATGATAATTAAATAATAATAATAATAATCAATAAATAATAATAATAATCAATAAATAATAATAATAATAATAATAATAATAATAATAACAATAATAATAATAATAATCAATAAATAATAATAATAATAATAATAATTATCAATAAATAATAATAATAATAATAATCAATAAATAATAATAATAGTATATTTTTCTTAAATATTTTAATATGTATATTTGTATATACACATGTGTATAATAATAAATAATCAATAAATAATCAAAGATCACTAATCCGTTGTTAAAAATCACTAAATAATAAGTTCAGTTCAGTTCAACTCATTTCAGTTCAGTTCAGCTGAGTTCAGTAAATGAGAACAAGCCCTTAGGCCCTATTCTGATACGTTTATTTTTAGTTCAGTTCAGTTCAGTTCAACTCTAATAAGTTCAGTTCAGTTCAGCTCCTAATTTCCTTCAATTATAAAATATTCAGTTTAGATCAGTTCATTTCAGCTCAGCTCTAATCAGTTTAGTTTAGATCAATTCAGTTCAGTTCTGTTCAATTCAGTTCAGTTCTGTTCAATTCAGTTTAGTTTAGTTCAGTTCAGCTCAGTCAATGAGAACATGCCCTTAGTGTTTCAACTTTTCGTCCAGTGTAGCGCAATGTTTGCGATGTATAAAGATTATATTGACACGTATGATGGTATGTAATCGAATTGGATAGATTTGTTTAAGATAAAAAAATTTGTTTTGAGTATTATTTTTATAAGACTTCTAATATTTCATACTTCATATGTATAAAATAAATTATAACTTTAAAAAATCTTATTATTGTGTTATTTACCTCATAAATAAGATTCAATAAAACTAATATTTTAGCCAAAGCACGAGATTACAACACTTGGCGTTTCAACTTTTCACTAAATGTAACGTCACGTAGGCAATATAAGGATTATTTTGCCACATATGATTGTAGATACTTGAATCCGGTAGATTTGTTTAGAATAAAAATATATTTTAGAGTTAAACTTTTTACGGGAATCCTAAGGTTTTATATCTATAAATTAATTATAACTACTACGTATAAAAATATCTAAAAATTAAATAAACTATTTGGGCATCGCACGGGGCGGCCAAAACGAGTAAATTATATGTAACTTAAGCAAATTATATATGTACATTGTATCTGAAGTTAATTGTAGTAAAAAACTAAAGAAAGTATATTTGATGTACATTGTGATAATGTGATGCGGTTCCAAGGCATCAATATTGTTATTATAATTATTTTTATTGTTATTTTTAGTTTATTATTAGATGACCGAATTTATTAGGATATTTTTGTTAGTTTAATTCGGTTAGTATAAGATAAGCTTAACTTTAAAGATCATATTTGCAACATATTATCTTTACAAGTTAGAGTTAGTTTCCTAGTTAGATTAGAATTTGTTTTACCGATTTTTAGGCTAATTATTTAGCTTATAAATACGTGATGGTGTTTAACGAAAAGTATGATTGATTGATTTGAAATTTATAAAGTTTTACGTAAGCTTGTGCTTGTGTATTCTTGGCCTACTTTAGGTTTTAAGCTCGTGTTGCTTAGCGTTTCTTGACCGAGACTCAAGATTCCAAACCTTTCAACTGCGATTGAAGGTTATATCCATCAAAATTCATATCATAATGTGAAGATAGTGAACATCATAAAATGATAATATGGAAAAAGCGTTGGGCCATGAATGTAAAGTTACAAAATGGGCCAACAACACATGAATGGTCTAATGAGCCAGGAATGTCCAATACCATTTGCAGCAAGCCAGCAACAGCCTTTTAATAATGAATGCGGGACCTTTTTGTGTATTCTTTGTTCTTGTTTACAGTATTTTTGCCTTAGTAAAGTTCCTGACAGTTTTTGGTTTAGTCTATAGGGAAAATAATCTTTTGCAATTGGGCGAACTATGCTTTCTTTTTTTTTTCTTTTTTTTTTTCCAATTATATTTTGGACATAATTTTCGTAGAAATTGTTTGAAGATACTAATATTAGTCCATTTGTATGCAACTGGCCACAACGTGTGGTCTCTTGTAAGAGAACAAAGTAGCCTTTCTAACACTGACTGAGTAGCCATTTTAATATTGATGAACAACCCTTTTAATACCGACCGAATAAACCTTGTAATAATGACCAAGTAACCCATTTAACGTTGCTTGGCTAACCCATGTAACACTGACTAAATAACCCCTATAACACTAATGAAGTAACCCCTTTATGTTGCCAGCCACGCACATATAAGACTTTCAAGACTTTGTATACCAAAATTCGTTAATTACTATTCCATTTAAAAATAAAATTCTTCCAAATTGTCCATGTCATCATTTTTTTGTCAATCAATATATTTTTAATTGGTTCCACATAACCACTATTTGAGGCTTTATTTGACATCGTTTTTTATTTTCTCGGTTTTCAGTTTTTTTGAAAACAAAAAACCAAAAATAGGAAACAAGAAAAAGGTGTTTATACTTTTTTATTGTCAGTTTTTAAAATTATCAAGATTTTAATAAGTTTGACTAATTTTTGATTCATATTATGATATATATCGATCATATGATTTTGAAAAACAAAAAAAAAAAAAAAAAAACAGAAAATTGCAACAATGCCAAACGAACCCAACTAGTGGTTTTATAAAGAATAATAATGTTTTGAGATCAGATCAATTAGGGAATTATTTATAACAATGGCAAATAAATCAAAACTAACACATTATTTATTTATTTATTTATTTATTTATTTATTGTAACGTGTCTCATATTGTGTTTGCCAATCCATAGTTTCATTTTCTTATATCTCTATTATAAATCGTAACGTTTCACAGTTCATGCTTGTCAATGCATTTTTTTTTTTAAATAATTTTTTTTTTGTTTTGTTTTGGTAAAAAGGAGAACCCTATTGAGTCAAAACTATCTTTTACAAGTCAACCTGGCCAGAATAACGGGCTAGTGCATTGCATTCCTACATAGTGCGGTACTTGATTGTAATTTGTAACCAACGACACATCCCATTTACTAAGTAAATATGTAATAGAGGCATTTGATACAATAATAACTCTCTCAATAGTAAGAAGTAATAAACATCATTAGAAACTGGAATCATGTCCCAATACTTCATATCTTACTTAACATTATTAATAAAACATGCTTAACCTTCTAATAAGTAAGTACATATATACCACTAACTCAATGCTAACATAGTATGTAAATAATGTTATGCTAGAATTTAGGAATCACTATTCATCAATTTGGAAATCTCATCTATTAATTAATCCTTCATTCTTGCGCATGTAATTAAGCTATGAAGTAGTACCAAACCCGGAAGCTTTAAACGACCTTAATCTTCAAAATCATCAACCATTTTAGTTCACACGTAATCAAGCAATTCAACTACTACATCCGTTAAATGTTATGTGCAATTTTGGGGTATTATTTGCGAGATATAAAATATTTCAAAGTTGCACATAACATTTAACAAAGGTAGTATACATGCGTGCATTTAGCAATCTAGCTAAAGCCTAGCAATCTCATAACTTGCTTGTATAATACGTGAGTTTTCACGTTGATCATCAACGATTTTTCGCAACTCTTCCTTTAACCTACTCATAGCTTGTAAAGGCAAAAGCATAAGCACAGCCCTAACCATTTCTCCTCTATCATTCTCAAACCGTGTAAACATACTTTGCACAAAATGTGGCCTAGGAACTCCGGCATACAACGGAGTTCCCCACCCGAAATCAACCTTTTCGAGTCCTACATACACATGATTTGTGGTCATCCAATGCAAATACTCCGTATAATCCGGCCTTCCATTACTAACCGTATAATCCAACATAGATCTAACATATTCCTCGTTCGCTTTTTCTTTTGATTCCTTTACTAATTGTAATGCATAAGTCCATGAATTTTCGCGTAACAAATCCTTAGCTTTTGTGGCTACTGCAGGGCAAACAACGGCATTACCATAGTAACCGGTTGGTATAGGCGTGAATTGTTTTCCTCGTATACTTATGTACATCGAAAACTTAACGATTTCATCGGGTTCGGGTTGAAGGGCAATCGTACGACATCTCCACATGAATGCACATAGTAGCTCAAACGTCGAGCTAGAGTGTTGTACGTTGGGAGGAAATAGGTTGCGGATTGCTCGTATTTGTTTCGGACCAAAGTGGAAGCATCCTCGGACCATGTTGCCTCCATCCTTAAATTGGTGTTCATGATTTATTTCTCCTGCCTATTAGAAAAAATAAAATGTAATAATTAAGATCAATTAGGTATTGTTCACAAATTTTGAACTACAAGGTTGCATTGTTGATAACAAATTAAAGTGATAACTTATAAGGCAGTTGTTGGCTAAATTTCCAAATATAAAAGGTGATGCGAGGAAATAAAAAAAAAATTCTTTTAGAAAATTATTTTCATTGTTTTCATGACAATTGAACATAATAAAAACTTTGTCAAGACAAGGGTGTGTAACATTAATGAAGAATTTTTTTAAGATAAATATATAATTTGTTTGTGATTTTTATTAATATTTTTTATTTTATTTTTATTAATATATTTGTAAACATTTGTTCATACAAAATTCTTCTTAAAGTCAACCTAACATGTTGCAATTTACGAAGTATTAGATGTGTGATTAGTAATAAAGGAGTAAAAGTTACTTTATTTTTTATTTTTTTTTGAAATACGGAGTAAAAGTTACCTTTGTTCCATTTGAATTGCCCAACAAATCCAAAAAAATACTTATTAAATGGGTCAAAGAGGACAAGTAAATACTCCATAGAAAAAGGGAGTAAAAGAATTATGTTAAAGATTAATCATTTAGTTATTAATTGAGTACGAGTATTAAATTATTATTTCCTACATTTTTTCAACCATCGCTTTACTCTATCAACATTCATGTAAAAAGTTAAATGGTCCAATTCGTCCAAATAAAGACTTTTGTACAAACAACTAACCTGATAAGAGTCTCATTGTATATTCTTACATTAGTTGATCGAATATATTGTGAAACTGTACGTAAATAATAAGTTTTTATTAAAAAAAAAATGTAAATGATAAGTAATAAAAAATCCGAAAATTATACAAAAGGATGTGGTCCAACAGTAACATAATAAACACACTATGTACCTTAGTACCTTACTAATTTATTTAAACAAAATCTATTTTTATTTATTTATATGTCATTACATTACACTGATGAGTACTTTATTTATCTTGCTTATTTAACTCAAAAAAAAAAAAATAAAAATTGATGAAGTAAAGTATATATCGTACGAATTGTTGAGATTTTTTAAAATAAATTTTATTTACCTCTTCATATTCAAGATGTGCGCAAGTCACTCGCGGGGGGTTTTTAGCGATCAGAAGCTCCCTTTTCAAAGAGGCATAACGGAAGGTTTTGGTAAACCTCTTGATAATTCAGCCATTGCTTGCAATAGTTGCGCAAATCCTGGTGTATCACACACCGTATGGTTGAATCGTACTCCCAATATAAAACCACCGCAAATTAAACGAGTCACCTGCATTAGCACAACTTTTATTCGATTAATTATTTTTGTACGATGTTTTAACTTTAAAATAAATTAAAAAAACTAATGCCTCCGTAGTTGCAACTTTAAAATATTTTATATCTCATAAATAATACTCCAAAGTTGCAACTGATATTAAATGGAGGTAGTATTTTAATTCTATCACCCAATAATTTTCTTGACCTAATTTTTTTTATTTTATTTTAATAACTTTATTAAGATCTAGTGGTCTTAAGTGACTACTGTGTGATAAAAAGAAATGTGTGTTAACTAAATAAAATAAAGTACTCCCTCCGTCTCCGAATATTTGTCACGAAAATTCATGGGAATTATGGTGGAAAATGTTGAGTAATGAAAGTATTTTGGAAAGTGAAATTCCCAACAAATAAAGTAATAAAATTGCATGTAAAAGAGAAATTTCCAATAAAAAATGTTAGGATAGAATAGGAAGATGACTTAATAAAGATAAAAAAATGAGGGTATGTAAGTCTTTTTTTATGTAATTTAATAATTATGAAAATATAAATGTTACAAACATATAGGGCCACTCAAAATGGCAAAAGTGACAAACCTTTAGGGACGGAGGGAGTAATATTTTTTGATTGAGTTATTCATTAAAAGATTAGGTAATTTTTAAGGGACGGGGCGAGTACAAGAACATACTTGAAATAGCAATAAGGGTAAACCTATAATCCCCTTGGAGCCAGGGATATCATAAAGGAAGTCCTCCAACAAAGGACATGGAGGTAGAATTCGAGTTCGAATCTCCTCCAAACCAACATTGGCGTCTGCTTCAATAAACAACACACCTTCGTCGTTACAATCAACCATCAACTTCCTATTTGGCCCTTCCCTTAGCCTACCGGCGAAAGGGTAGTAGTACATTAGGGCTTTTGCAAGAGCCTCCTTGATCACTTTCGCTGGATCTTTCCCAACTTTTGATCGGTTCGCTTTGAAAGCCATGGTCACTTGAGGTCGAACTCGAAGGCCTTGTTGATCATCTATGTCTGATAGCTCTTTTAGTTCTCTTCTTGAGGGTTTTTCTAGCACTACTACCACTGCTTCTTGCCTTGTTATTTTGATGATCTTCTCCATATGTAATATAGCTTTAATTTAGGGATTTACTCCTAAATTTAGGGTACTTGTTTACAGAAATCTAGGAATTGTATTCTAGTGTCTTATTATCTTGGGGATTTAGGGAATAGAGAACCAAGCTTGAAATGTGTAAGAGCCTAGCTAAGAAGGCACGTATTTAAACAAAAAGAAATAGCTATCCCCACATACCCACAAAATTTGCCCGTTTTCAAATAAAATACTCGTACTTTGTAACATTTTGCCTGAACGGTATATTTGTCCCTAAATAAAAGTTTTATTTTATGAATATTTATTTCTTTTTAACCTTTAATCAACAAATTATGGAGTATCTTTTTAAAATTTTAAATTAGTTTTAATTTACCATTTAAGAATCAAATCACATGTATGCATTCACCTTCTATCAATTTTTTTATTCACCTTCCTAAAAATTTGTGACAACGACTATTATTTGGAATTGAAGGGACGTACAATGTATTGCATAAAAATAGCAATCAAAATTCAAAACATATAAGTTGGATGGTCATGTTATTGTAAGGAACTAAGGACCATAAAAAGAAACTTTTAACTAAAAGGAATAATGTAAACTAATAATCCCACCTTTAGTCGGTCTTCCACAAACAATCCCACCTTTTGAAATTCTAGAAATAATCCCACCTTTGATAGGGATCTTCCACTAACAATCCCTTTGACCTACAACCTGTTAAACAGGTTAAAAAAAAATTCCCTTTATTTTTAAAACTAAATCTCTTCTACGACCACCAGCCACCACCGTGGTCACCCCAACCCTCACCCTTTACCGCCACCTCCACCCATTAGGCCACTACGGAACCCCCAACCACGCCGAAATACCATCACCACCCCCAAAACCCGAGCCTCACTCAAATTACACCACCCACAACCTCGAAAACACCACTGACTGCCCCCGAAAACACCATCCACAACCCCAAAAACACCATCGAAAGCCCCTGAAAACACCACCCACAGCCCTGAAAATACCACCCACAACCCCAAAAACACCATCCACAGCCCCAAAAACACCCACAGCCCCGAAAACACCACTGACAGCCCCAAAATAAACACCATCCACAGCCCCCAAAACCACTAACACCCCCGAAAACACCGCTTACAGCCCTAAAAACACCAATGATAACCCCGAAAACACCACCCACAGCCCCAAATAATTCCTCTTGGCCCTAAAAACTCAACCCTTAGCCTGAAAAACTCCATAAAAACCACCCCATGAAACCAACCTATACAAAACCCACCACCCCCACAAAACCCACGCCTACAGCCCCACAAAACCCAAGTACCACCCCGATGAAATCCCACCCCCACGAAAAATCTCAAAACTCCGTGTGTTCGAATTACATCATCGTTGAACTCCGAGATTGTGCGAAATTGATGGTTGTGGAAGGGGTGTGCGACTGGTGGTGTTTTCAGGGTGGTGGTTGCCGGAGAATGCAAGGGCGGGGATGGGGAAAGGAGTGCAGTGGCAGGCTGGGCTAGTGGCGGGGCTGGGGGTTTTCTTCTTTATTTTTTTTTTAATTAGATTTGTTTTTTTTAATTATTAAAAATCGGACTAAACCTATTAAAAACCTACACGTGTCTTTTAACTTAAGAAAATCGGTTACCAAATCAATCCAACCGGTCAGGGATTGTTAATGGAAGATATGGGCAAAAGGTGGGATTATTTCTGGAATTTCAAAAGGTGGGATTGTTTGTGGAAGACCGATTAAAGATGGGATTATTAGTTTACATTTTTCCATAATTTAATGATTAGGGGATAAATAAATCACACCAACGGTAAATCGCATCGTGATTTGAGATTTAAATAAACGTGATCCAATGTTCGCAAAATATAGACATCGTATAGTGGACTTAATTAGATCAAGTCATTAAGCCAGACAACTAGAGTATACTAAATTGTGCTTAGATGTACATCGTATGTACAAAAAAATCTAATCCATCCTAGATGATTAATCCACAACCACCTTAGCTAAAAAGGTGCGGAATATACTTGATAGAGTATAAAAATATACTCCTACGCCTCAACCAAAAGCTTAAGCGGATGGTTGAGGTTTAGGAATATGTTTTTTACTCTATCAATACTTATATTTTTAAGAAAAAAATAATTTTCTATTTGAAGGAAGCATATAACAATTTAATATTTGATTCATTTTTAATTATTTATATCCTACTTGTAATTACTTAATAAGGTAGCCAGGTTGGAAGCTCCCTCGCAAAAGCTAGGTAATTTACTCCGTATATGAATAGTACAGTACTCTTTGCATAAAATTTAGTGTTTCAGAAAAGCATTTGCGCGTTGCCCTATGAATTTATTATATTCTTCATGCACATTTAGCATGTTACCATGTATATATTGAGATAGAAATGTAATAGGAAAATTGTAAACTAATAATCCCACCTTTAGGTGGTCTTCCACAAACAATCCCACCTTTCTAAAATCCAGAAACAATCCCACCTATTCCCCCTATCTTCCATTAACGATCCTTCACCTGTTGAAACCGGTTAAAAAATTAGATTGGTTAGAACAACCGGTTTCTTCTAATTTAATTTCCAACCGTTAAAAAGCTTATACACCATTAATGCCTTCTCCCCTGTTCTTCTCTGAGAATTTTATAAATTGCCCCCCCCCCCCATCAATTAATTTTTTCATCTTTCTTCATCTTTCTTCATCTCATCTCTTCTCTTGTACTCAAAGCTTTCTTTTTTTTTTCCAGTTCGCTATCAATGGCAAGTCATAATTCAATTGGCTCCTCTTCAAGGTCGAGGTCGAAACAAACCTCGTCTTCTTAGGTGGTTTGCTACCACAATGAAATTGCACCACTGAGGACAGTGCGCTACGATGGTCCAACAAAGGGGAAGCATTTTTTTGGGTGCTCATACTGGCCTGTAAGTATTTGCGCACCAAATTGTTATTTTTTTTTTTAATTTGCTTTGTTATTGCTGTAATAGCCTAATTTGGGTGATTTGTAGGAGCAGAGGACTTGTGGCTTTTTCAAGTGGGCTGATGAGGTGGATGATGTTCGTAATCTGCAGCATTTGGTTATGGAGAAGGAGACCAGAATTTGTGAGCTTGAGTATGAAATGGACATGATGAAGGATAAAGTGAAGAGGCTCAAGGCAAAGAAAGAGAAGCTGGTTGAAGAGGTGGAGGAAATGGGCATTGCAACGACTGAAATAATGTTTGAACTCAAGGAAAACAACACTGACAAAAGGCTAATGCTTACTCTGGTCTTCTCTTGGGCATTTTTCACCCTTGTGATGTTGATGAAATAGGGTGTGTTGATGATGGGGTGAAGGTAGTTTTTTGGGGTTGCTGTGAAGGTGTAGTATAAGTGGGTTGTGGGTTGATTGGGACATCTGTATTTTTGGTAGTTTTCAGATGTGAAAGTGTTTGGTTTTTTTGCTTAATTTGGCATGCTAGGATGGTATTCAGTAGGCTAGGCTTGATTTAAAGAAGGAAGTAGGGCTTGACTGTAGTGTAGGTGCTGACCATCACTGACTTTTGTAACCATGGAAATTTCAATGAATATATGACTTATGTTGCTTGGTTAAATTGTTGTTGCTGAAATTCTTGCAATTTAATTGTTGTTGCAGCCACTGTTTTAAACACTTTAATACAACATATATACTATGAAAAAATTGCACAAACAGAGAGCATATATAGCATAACATGAAATTCTTCAAAATACAAGACAAACTCTATTCAAATGAAGATACATAAACATAGGTTTGAATTGCATAAACTTAGGAATGTCATTGATCTTAACTAACTAATACATCCTTATTACATGTTGTTCTAATTTGAGGAACCCTGACTGAAGTTGTAGGAGAAAGTAGTGGTGTATGCAGAAACATCTTGAGGTCCTGCACTTCCTGGTGGCTGCATTGAAAAAAAAAGGAGTTAGTTTTGTTTGCACATAAATAGGCTTTGTAATAAAATAGTCAATAAGTTACTGTCATACATTAGTGAATGTAGAGCCATCTGATGTCAAATAAACACCAAAACCTTGGGGGACCTGATTTCTTCCTCTGCCTCTTCCACCCCTTGATCCTCTACCACCCCTTGTTCCTCTACCACCTCTGTTACCTCCTGTTGTTGTGGTAACACCTCTTCCCATACTGCCTGAAGCTTCCCCTCCCCTACCAGTTCTCCCACCCTTACTAGTTGGAGCATCCCTTCCCCTAGCTCTGCCAGTTCCCCTTCCAGCTGAGTTACCTCCCCTGCTGATCACTCTACCTCCCCTTCCTATTCTTGAAGGTTCAGCTGTTGCTATTAGATGAGTAGAAGAGTATGGGTGCGTAGGTTGGGAAGCTGCAGCCTCTTTCCTTGGCCTATCCCTTGCTCTCTTTGCTGGAGGCTCATCTGGGGTTTGTGGGGCTTGTGGCAGAGTAGCTCCTCTGTTGGGGCACCTTCTCTTATTATGGCCCTTCCTTATGACAGAAAAAAATTGCAGCCACTGCATGGCAACATGGGATCCCACACATGTCCCATTTTCTGCATGTGCAAGTTCTTTTTTCTAGGTCCACAGACATAGTGTCCAAGATATGGCTCACTTGAAACACACTCTGTGAAGAAGGAATGACCTCACAATTAGCAGCTTCCTCTTTCTCTGATTTTAGCTTCTTCTGAATCCTTGGACATAAAACACTCTTCCATTTTTCCATTTCCTGCCTCTTAATCACCAACCTCCTCATTAAAGCTGCCCTTATATCCTCCAACATATAAAGCAAATGTTTTGCCCTAGCATTAATGATATACCCATTAAATGTCTCAGCCATGTTAGATGTGATGGCATCTGCCTTCACATCAGTTTTCAAAAATGCCCTGCAGAAGACATTTGGGTTGTAACTTTTGAAGCCTGCAGCAGCTGCAGCATTAGTTGTCTCCAACTTATTAAGTGCATCTCTATAGTCAGCTTCACTATATGACTTTGCACAGCTCCAAAACATCAATTTCATTTCATCTTCGTTTAATTGCTTTAATTTGCAAATTTAAGAAAGCTAGGGTTTGTCGAAAATTTACCTCTAATTAGCCCACCTTGAATTGCTGTGCTAAGGACCTTAATTTCCTTCAATCAATGAACAATTGCAGTCCTTTCGATGAAGATAAGTTTCTGAAAGTTAATTTTTTTTTTAATTGTTACTTTGTTTCATAAAATGGCGAAACTTATGTTTTTTTGGGGGGAAAACCGTTGGAGAAGAAAGACTTTAGGGAGGGAAATAGAATAGGTTCACCGGTTTAAGGGGTAACCTGTAAAAAGGATCTTTAATGGAAGATAGGGGGAATAGGTGGGATTGTTTCTGAATTTTAGAAAGGTGGGATTGTTTGTGGAAGACCACCTAAAGGTGGGATTATTAGTTTACAATTTTCCAATGTAATATGATATGATATTATGAGAATAATATCATAAGAGACATTATTGTGAAAAGATATACATGAGATATATTGTGAATAGATTTAGGAAGTTAAGATAATCATACAATGGGAAAATACAATGGAAAAATACAGAGAACTAAAAAAAAAAAATTGTAAACTCTCACAATCTCACTACATTGAACGCACATAATGAATAATGCGTGCAATTGATCACTCCACTTACACGAATTCTCGTGTTTAAGATATTTTCTCCCATGGCCACTTGATGAGAACGTCATTCTTTTCGAACCCATCAATATTGAGATATAAATGTAATATGATATGATATTATGAGAATAATATCATATGAGACATTATTGTGAAAAGATATACATGAGATATATTGTGAATAGATTTAGGAAGTTAAGATAATCATACAATGGGAAAATACAATGGAAAAATAAAGAGAACTATTTTCCCCAATATTTAACATGGTATCAAGAGCCTAGGGAGATCTTGGGATAAACACGAGAGTTCGTGTGAGAGAAGAGGATAAAAAAACCTTAATCACAAGAGTTCGTGTGAGAGGAGGGGATGAAAAACACGAAAGTTCATGTGGGAGAATGAGAGAACCTTAAACATGAGAGTTCACGTGAGTAAAGAGAATGAAAAACCCTTAATCACGAGAGTTCGTGTGAGAGGAGAGGATGAAAAACACGAGGGTTCGTGTGAGAGAATAAGAAAAACCTTAAACATGGGAGATTGTGTAAGAGGAGAAGAAAAAAATATGACGGGTTCGAAAAGAAAGACGTTCTCGTTGTATTGATTGATGGGTTCGAAAAGAATGACGTTCTCATCAAGTGGCCATGGGAGAAAATATCTTAAACACGAGAATTCGTGTAAGTGGAGTGATCAATTGCACACATTATTCATTATGTGTGTTCAATGTAGTGAGATTGTGAGAGTTATAATATCATATTACATTGCTATCTCAATAGTATATTATACATTTATACTATAATATTTTGCTCCCTATAAACTACTTGAAAAATACTTCCTCCGTTTTTTCTAATTGATACAATTTAACTTAATTTTACGCAATTCACGAACTATAATTTAATTAGATTTTGTGATTTATAGCTACGATAAAGTATTTTCAAGTAGAATCTTATTTTAATCATCTCAGTGTATATTTTATTAATATCCTATTTTTATTATTTTAAAATATAAAGAATAAGCAATATTAATCATTAAAATTGTACGTTGGGAAGATTGATAAAAGAAAGGTATCAACTAAATATAAACGGAGGTAGTACTACATACGTACGTAACAGTAGTATTAATTTATAATTAGGCAATAAAAATAAAGTAATATACGGTTGTGCCAAATTACTAAAATACCCTTCCATGCAATCTATATATAAATATCCATGAAATGTTGCTCTCCCCTCACATACCAAACCAACAAACACATTCCCTCTTAATCCTTAGCTTAATCCAAATTGAAGAAATAAAAATGGCCTCCAAGTCCACCATTGCCTTTATGATGGTTAACCTAGCCATCTTCACTTTCGTGTCAACTAACGCCGTTACTTGCCCTGCCCTAGATGTGAATGCGTGTATCAACATTGCCAATGCAAAAATTCTGGGTACCCAGAATTGGAACCGGAACCGGTTAGGAATCGGCGGGTCCGGAACCGAAATTGGACCCGGTGGTTCCAATTTCGGGTAATAAATTAAGGACCCGGTTATAACCAATTCCAATTCCAATTCTCAACTTTTTGGAACCGGAACCAGTTGGGTACCCGGTTACCTAATGTATGCTAAAATAAATAAATTTTAAATAATAAAAATATGTTGAATGTATCTATTTTGTAAATTAAAAAAGTATTATTAATACCTAACATAGATACAAATAGCTTAATGCATATATAAATATAAGTATTAAACGCTAAAAATGAACCTAACTAAAATAAAAATTATAATTTGTATTATATTTTAACAATTACATACATAAGTGGATACCCAGAATCGGTACCCGGTGGTTCCAATACCAATTCCTAAATTTTAGGACCCGGTTGAACCAATTCCAATTCTGGATCCGAATTTTAGGACCCGGATCCAACCAATTCTAAGTCCAGATCCTAAAATTTTTACCGGGTACCGGTTTGCTCACCCCTAGTTGTGACCTCATTTACAACAATATAGCCGATGCTGATCTTGTTGTATGCCTTTGCACTACCCTGAAAAACACGCCTCTCAGAAGCACCCTTGGTGGCCTCCTTAACGCCCTTGGTGGTCTTGGGGACCTTACTGGCAATGACCTTCTTAACAAAGAGCTTGTCACCGTCGTTAATGCCTGTGGATATAGCAATCCCGCTCAATATAAGTGTCTTGTCTAATCATGTATTATGTACTTTTACCAGTGGCGGAACCAGAAATTCTACATTAGGGCGGCCAAGATCAATTATGTTTATAAACATAAAAATATGTATCTCAAAATGAAAAAAAAAGAGTAGCAAGAGTCAAACTCATAATCTCACGTGAGAAATCCCTTAAAAATCTCATATTAAGCCAACTTAGTTGTGAATATTTGTTTAACAACATTTACAAAATTAAATTTTAAACATTATCAAGGGGGTGGCCATGGCCTACCCCAGCCACCCCCTAATTCCGCCCCTGACTTTTACGTTATTGATTTGCTCCTTTGAGGGTCATCTCAATTTCGTATGCTGTTGTTGGAGTGTGAATTAATGCATTGGAAAATGTGACTAAAGATACGTGTCAGCTAAAAAATCGGAGTGAGGAAGTATTATATACTGTACTCATCATAATGTAGCTATTAATAGTCTAATTTCTTTAGTATGCACACTCATGTTATTGATTTGCTCCATCTACTTTTGAGGATCATCTCAAATTCTCAATTTTAGTTATTGTCGTTGGAGTTTGAATGGATGAGTAATCTTTAATGCTTTATGCTATGTCTTGTACTATTTCATTTAAAGTAGATTAATTTGATTATTATGAAGTTATGAAAACGTGTTTGATCTATACGCGGAACCTAGCTAGAAAAATAATATAAACATATATACTTCCTCCGATTAAGTCGCAACACACACTTTTTCACGGTGTTTAAGAAAGGTGGGGTTTACATGATATAATACACTTTAAAATAGGATTAGTGGTTGTTATGGATGTAATTTAGTGGGTGGGGTCATGTGCTTAAATAAGGGAAATAGTGTAGCTTTCCCCTAAAATAACTTTCTATTTATAGTGTGTTACAAGTATTGTGACATTTCCATTTTTTAAAAGTGTTGCAAATATTAAAAAACGGAGGAAACATAGTCATATAGTCAACAAGTTATTTAGTGGGTGGGGTCATGTGCTTAAATAAGGGAAATAGTGTAGTTTTTCCCTAAAATAACTTTCTATTTATAGTGTGTTGCAAGTATTGTGACATTTCCATTTTTAAAAAATGTTGCAAGTATTAAAAAACGGAGGAAACATAGTCATATAGTCAACAAGTTACACAAATAACTCTCCTAGTTCAGAGTTAATGTGCATATATATACCTAGTGATGATGATATTGCTACACTATTGTGTTGTCCCAAACTCAATGTAGTTAGTTCCTCCAGTAAAAAAAAAATGTAGTTAGTTCCGGGTCGTGATGGGCCGTTACCAGGTAGGGACACGTATGTCCAATACCAGGGGCAAATCCGTAAAATCTCGTTAATAATAGGACGGTAACTACGACGGTAACTTTTGGTTGTTACTGTTGTTACTGCGACTGTAAAAATCATTTGTTTTCTCTCTCTAGAATTTTCAGCCCTTCCTTTTCTCTCTGTAAAAAGGATCTCATCGGGAAACGTCATCGGAATTCCAAACCCAAATTTAGCCATAAATTAAGCGAGTCTTGATCGGAAAACGGCCCGAAAATCGTCGAATTAGGCTGGGTTGGTTGCCGTTTAGATAAAGGGTTGAGGTGTTGTCTTCTTTTGGTGTCGTTGAAGAGATCTGGGCTAAAGTTGTTCGTTGTTGTAGAAGGTATATCTGTTGTCGGTTGTCGATACACCTCGCAAAACACTAGGTTGAGCATGGCAGGTAAACGACTTTCGTTATTTATAAAGGATTTAGTTTTTTTTTATATTTTTTGACGAGTATAAAGGATTTTGTTAGTAACGAAATGGTTAATTGTAGCAGGTGGCGGAAGCAGGGGCGGTGGAAGGGGTGGTCGAAGCGGTGGTAGAGCAGGACGTTCTCGTGGTATAGTCGAAAAGGTAAGTGATTTCAAGAAATTTCACAATATAACTAGTGAATTCAAGAACTTAATTAGGGATTAAGTAGTTAACTTTGAAAATTCGAAATTCTTAATCATGTTTCTTTGTCTGAAGTAGTTAATCATGTTAATTAGGGATTAAGTAGTTATCTTTGAAAATTCGAAATTCTTAATCATGTTTCTTTGTCTGAAGTAGTTAATCATGTTAATTAGGGATTAATTAGTTATGTGAAAATTCGAAATTGTTAATTATGTATATTTGTGTCAAGTAATTAATCATGTGTAGTTGTCTGATAGTAGTTAACTTTGAATAAGTATGTGTTTATGAGTAGGTTAGTGATTTGGAATTGAATACTTGATTGTTGTATGCTTTTGGTTGATTTATGTCTTATAATGTTGGTTTTTGGTTTTTTTTGTGGAAATAGTATTTATAGTTAGTTAAATTTGTTGTGGATTATGTGAAAGACCCTTATCTGTGTTGGTAATTGATTAAATTGGGGTATTTGTGTTGATTTTGAAGAATGTAGGAGAAGAAATAATCGATGAAGATGAGTTAGAATCTCTTGGTACGAAGCAGAAGGTAATAATAACACATTAGGTCTCTGATAAATTGTTTGGATGGTGGTGGTGAGTGAAATGGTTTGATGTTGTTGTTTTGATTTCAGGTTTGCAAGAAAATTGATGATGCTGTCTGCCGGGTGAGCTTGTAATTGAAGTCCACACATGTGTTGATATTGTTTTGGTCAAAGTAGGTGGTAATTTATTTTGGTGTTTTTTGTAGGACAATAAACTTAGTGAAGGAGGAAAGATGAAGGAAAATGGTAAAGTAATTCAAAGAATGAAGGAGGAGCTCAAAAGGGTAAGTGTGTGTTACATTTAACAGTTTGCTTTGTTATGTGTGTGTTGATATCGATAAGTGTTTTTGTTTATGTAGCCTGAAAACATAAATTGTCGGGTGGAGGATTTTGGCATGATTCTAAATGAGTTTTGTGAAAAGAAGAGGAAGATAGTTGAGGAGATGGGATTTTCTGGACTGTTTGGTTTAGTGGACAGACAACTTCCTAGGGAGTTGTGTTATTGGCTTGCTACGAGGGTTGATGTACCCTCATACTGCTTGGTAACACCCGATGGGCTGGAGTTTACATTTGACCCCATTCAAGTCCATTAGGTTCTAGGGATTCCAAAGGGTCATTTGCCGGTTCCGAAGGTAGCCGTCGATGAAGATTTGAAGCATTTTCTTAAAGGTGTACTTGCGCGATTCAGTACGACTTCCCCTACCAATGTGAAAGGGATATCGAGGAAATACCTAGTATAGGCAGTAGAAGATCCACTTGAAGATGTGTTTGAGTTCAAGGTTGCTTTCTTGCTGCTAGCCCTTGTGAATATTCTGTGTCCTACTACCTGGTATAGGCTCTGTCCTAAGTTACTCCCAGCAGCAATTGCAGCAGTGGACCCTCAGTCTTATGACTGGTGTTCCTTAGTGCTTGAAAAACTTATGTATTCAGTTTCAAGCTTTGCAAGGAGTGTCTATCCTTCAGGGTTTTCAAAGGGTTGTGAAGGATGCACAATTTTTCTTGCGGTTAGTTTTACCATATGCAGAATTATTTTGGTTTAAGTGAAGTAATCAAACCTTGTATATAATGTATATGTGTTGGTTTGTGGTGTAGATAATGTATGTTGATCGTTTGCGAAGGCCACCTGTCAAATGGGGGGTATTTCCTCGGTTGAAGGCCTGGTCAGAAGTTGAAATTAACAAGGCAAAGAAGGCTGATCGCATAAGCCGCGGAGGTGACTTTGGGAAGTTAGGTGTAAGTAAAATAAAGTTCCCCTTAATTGTGTAATTATGTTGTTTATGTATTGTGGTGTGTTGATTATTTGTATTGTATTGTGTTGATTTTTTTGTAGTGTGTCAATGCGTCTTATGGAAGGCCACATGAAAGGGCTGCATTGGACCGTATGCTTGTGAAAATAAGTGTTATGGCTGTAGAGGTGAGTCTAATTGGTATTATGTGGTATGGAGTTGATGGTTATATCTGAATGGAATAATATAATTTGAAAAATGTATATAATTTTGAAAACAGATTGTTGAAGTGTTAATGCAAGCTGTTGATATAGAAGAGGAGGATGTAGGTGGAGGGGATCTTATATCCACTCAAGGAGTGAAAAAGCGTCCAAAGGAAGGACGCGGTTATTTTGGATAGAATAAGGGTTCAGGTATTCATACAGAAGTTATATCATATATATATCATTTGCAATTTGCATACCACTCAAAATGACATAGTAAAGTTTTTGATAGTAAACTTTTGTAATATGCAAACTGACTTAACTGTATTTTCATTTGCAAAAATTGTCAAAGGTTCTTATTCTGGTTCTGGTGTGCATGACGTGTCAGAGGACCTTGGGAATGGGAATGGGAATGACATCAATGGCAATGACATTTATGTTAGTGACTACATAGCAATTGGGTTAATGTGTTCAACCCCTATTTTGAACAATGAATGGGAGGACTCCCAAAGGAGGGAGAGGGAGGAGATTGAGAGACAGAAGAGGGAGAGACATGAGAGGATTCAGAGGGCGAGACAGGAGAGGATTCAGAGGGAAATACAGGAGGAGAGACAAGAGACAGAGGATAGAGAGAGACTGGAGAGAGAGCAGAAGGACAGGAATGACAGAGAGGAGCAAGAGAGAAAGGAGAGAGAGGAGCAACAGAGAAATAGAGAGGAGCATGAGAGAAATGAGAGAGAGGAGCAAGAGAGAAAGAAGAGAGAGGAGCGAGAGAGACAGGAGAGAGAGGATCAAGAGAGAAAGGAGAGAAAGGAGAGAAAGGAGAAGGAGCTGCAGAAGGATAGAGAGGAAAAAGAGGAGAAGGAGATACAAGACAGAGAGGAGAAGGAGAGACAAGACAGAGAGGAGAAAGAGAGGCTGATATTACAGGAAATAGAGAGGGTGGCGATGGAGGAAAGGGAGAGGGTGGAGGAGGAACAGAGGCTGGAAATGGAGAGGGTGGAGGAGGAGCAGAGGCTGGAAAGGGAGGAAAGGGAGAGGTTAGAGGAGAAAGATAGGTTAGAAAGGGAAAGGGTCGCCTTGGAGGCAGAGAGGCTGGAAAGGGAGGAAAGGGAGAGGCTGGAGGAGAAAGATAGGTTAGAAAGGGAAAGGGTCGCCTTGGAGGCAGAGAGGCTGGAAAGGGAGGAAAGGGAAAGGTCGGAGAAAGAGCAAGAGGCATTGGATAGGCTTGAGAAAGAGAAAGAAGAATATGATAGGATGAACAAGGAGAGGGTGGAGAACAGAGTAGTCCGAGGACCACAGAGCCCGGAAAGAATTGATGAAGAGGTTAGTTTCAGTTCAGAGGAAGAAATGAGTGATGATTGTGTAGGGGCAGCATTGGTTGAACATGGTGAGCGAAGTCATCGAAAACGGAAAACAACGACAACCCTGAGCCGATTAGTACAAGGTTATGTAATGAACTGGCGGCCTAGGAAGAATCGGCGATACCGGCATGCAATTTTCGATTATGTTAGACTGAACACCAATTTTCCACCACGGAGGCAGCACATTATTGACATGTATGCATTCTATACATTACAAACAATGATCTGATTTAGTTAACAGCTACTGCTGTAACAAACAGTTTTCTGGTTTCCTATTTTGTAGTGAAGAAGACCCGGTGATGCTAAGCTGTGATGGCCATATAGCTAGGCTTAGTCTTTGTGCTGGTATAGGTTTGTCTAGGGGGTAGGTTGTTGACCAGGTAATAAAAGGAATTTTATTTTTAAACATGAAAGTTAGTTATTTCATTTTTTTATGTTTGATACTATTTTATCATGATATGCGTAGTACGTAAGGGTTGCTGCTAAAATGTATGAAAAGGTTTGGGCTCATCGACTTGAAGGCCGTAGTCGACGATTCATGTTGGACCCCACATTGGCATTATGCAAAATATTATTTGGTTTACCAAAATGTTTATTTCCTTTTTATAATTTTTAAGTAATTTTGTTCGTCTTGCAAGACTCGTGTGTTAAACATGAAGTCCCCAGAGGAGTTGGACAGGACCACAAGGGTGTATACTCGGCAAATGTTAGGCTTATCTCCAAACCGCATTAACGTTGTAAGTAATTTGTGACTTTGTTATTACTTTGTTAATGACATGAATATACTTTTCAATAGGTCTTTGTTCATGTGGTGTTGTTGAATCATTGGTGGTGTGTGGCCTTTTCACTAAATCGGGAAGAGATTTTAGTCATGGACTCCATCGAGACGTCTACAGCTGCAGATTTGCACTCCATTAACGTTCAAAAATTGGTAATCTAATCTTTGTGACTAATGTGTCATGATTTGGGTATTTTATACCCGGCCAGGTGGCCTAATCAGAAGCCGCCACGTGTCCTCCATATAGGTGCCATTCGGACCTATGGAATGATGACACGTGGAGGGTGGACTCTTCTCTGTCCTACGCGGACTGAAGATCCAGTAGGGACCATTCAGGTGGCGACACGTGTCACTCAAAAGGTGCCTCAGAATCCTTTTGGGCTCAGTGACACGTGTCACTCTGGCATTGGCCCTGGGATGGCGGCCTTCAAAGGCCCAAATCCCGAGGCGCCGCAAAACGGCGTGACTTAATTCCTAGGTCACCAGATCCTAGGAGGGGCACACTTTTCAAAAGGACCCTATAAATAGGAGGGGCGTGACATTCTGGCATTTATGACAGGGAGAGAATTTTACACGCAATACGAGACAATACGTCACTTATCACACCTTACCTGAGCTTGGAATCCGAGCAGATAACTTTATTTCCGCACGTTTTATTACCGAACGTTTACTAACTTAATCTTCGGAGGCGGACCCCCGACCATCCGGCGGTCCGTTTTCTTTGCAGGTACAGGCATCCTCAGTTGAATCCAACTTCAGGGTTGTAACTCTCCCAAGGGACAAAAACCCCCGAAACATTTGGCGCCGTCTGTGGGGAGAGTACCTCTGAAATGGCTTCACAAGAACCTGTACCAAATCCAGAGGCCATTCGGCCTCCAAATGATATAATGGTCCAAACGGACCATGACTCAGGGGACGACGCTGACGTCGAAACCTATGTGGATCCAAATAGATCCCTCATCTCTAAGCGCATCTGCAGTAAGGAGAGGCGTTAGCACCACCATGACCAGGCAAGGCCAAGGAAAACTGCTGATCAGCCAAAGAAGCCCTCGGGGCGGCCGGTTGATCCTTCCCAGGCGGCAGGATCAACTCCCGTCACTTGGGATGAGCTAATGTCACTCCTGAGCAGCCTCAGGGGTGAAATCAAGCAGCTCGCCTCAAAGAAGTCGCCTGCTCCTAGAAAGGAGCAGTCGGCCAAGAAGCCAGCCCAAGCTGGCAAACAGAAGTCGGTCAGGGACCTTCAGCCGACTCCTCATCCTACTCCTAAGGAGAAGGCCAGGCCCCAATTTGACCTTACTCGGCTCCGTTTCCCAGAAACGGGCACAAGAAAACCCATCCGGCACATACAGCCGGATGGTAGCAAGAAAACGTTCTCTGACGCTCGGCAATACATTGAGGAGAGGAGAACCCAGCAATCAGAGTCGGCTTCAACGTCGACTTATCATGATAGCTTTCGGAATACCTCTGTGAGGTGTTCCCAGTCTGTACATGAGACCCCAGCAAGCAGCAACGGGTTCAGTCTGGGCCTCATATGATTCAGTCCGTCCAGTACATGGCACAACCATTGTACAAGGCGCCAGTTTTACCTTACATGCAACCTACCCTCTATGGAGGACAGGCGGCATACGGCTATCAACCGATGGACTGGCAGCTTAGGCTGCAACACCTTGGAGATCAACCCTCTGCTTTCTCCAGGGAAATAACTGAAGCCGTACAACCGGCTAAAGTAAAAACGTTCTGGTTGGAGCCTATGACGGGACCTCCAACCCAGAAGACCACCTGCTAGCATACACCCACCTCATGTATTTACAGGGGTTGGATGATGTCGCATGGTGTCGTTGCTTTCCAGCCACCCTGAAGGGCATAGCCTAGCAGTGGTTTGGCAATCTGCCGGCTGGTTGCATAAATAGCTTCAAGACGCTTGCGTTCTTATTTGCTTCAAACTTCTCTATGAACATCCCTGCCAAAAAGACAAGTCTTGACTTGGGCAATGTACAACAGGGAGATAGAGAAGGCTTGCGTTCCTACGTCAGGCGGTTCAATCTGGTCCGAATCCAGATTCATGGGCTGTCTGATGAGGTCGCTTTCACAGAATTTTTTAAAGGTCTGGAGGACGGGTCTACTTTTAAGTACGAACTCGTCCGCAAACAAATCTTTACTCTGCAAGGAGCCTTGCGAGAGGCGGAAGCCTACATACAGGCGACCGAGCTCTGCTCCTCCAATAAGCAGTCGAACCATAAGAAGTCTGACCGACAGAAGGAGAGTCGGCCTGCTCAGCCGGCTCCTAAGCCAGAAGAAAGCAAAAAGAAAAAGCAAGTCTGGGCCATTGATAACTCTGATCAACCGGCCCAGAAGAAGAAAAAGGAGTGGAAACCGTACGTCCCAAGGTACGAATTCCACAAGGACTGCTGCTCCATCCTCTTGGAAATTAAGGATCGACTGATTCTTGAAAAGCCGACTCCTATAAAAGGTTCTGCTGAAAATCGGAACAAAAACAAGCATTGTCATTTCCATGAGGATGTTGGCCATGACACCGACGACTGCTTTAGTCTCAAGCGGGAGCTTAATTGTCTGGCCGACAAAGGACAACTAAAGTCCTATGTGAAGTCCAAAGTGACTTCAAAAGCAAATCCGGGGCAGTCCAAGAAAAAGACTCCCCAGCCTGCTGTGAGTGCCGAAACTGATGAAGAACTGGTGTACACCATAGCAAGTGGATTTTTTGGTGGTGGCCCGACCATTCGGGGTACCAAGGACCATCTGAGAAAGATGGTCAACTCTGTTGAGGAGGGGGATGCAGCAAGCGCATCCACCTTCCCTAAAGTTGTTATCACTGAGTAGGACAGAGGTAAAGTCCGTCGGCCGCATGATGACCCTGTTGTCATTGAGTGCAAGGTCGCCAACCAGCTGGTTGGCCGAATTCTGATTTGACACAGGAAGCTCCTCTGACCTCATCAGCCTCAAATGCTTATCCAATCTCAAATACAAATCGGATAGCATGATGGAGGTCTCCCACACCCTTGTTGGGTTTGGGGGAGGACTTGTGCACCCAGTCGGACGAATTGACCTACCTGTCCGCCTGGGGAGCAGGGGAGACGGTCGACACATGACCATCCGTTTCCTAGTGGTTGAAGAGCTCACAACTTACAACCTTATCTTTGGCCGACCCACTCTTAACGAGTGTAAGACCGTCATCATCCCCGCTCTCATGCTAGTCAAGTATGAGAAGGATGATGGCACAGTCGGTTCCCTTAATGGGGACCAAAAGACGGCTCGAGAGTGTTACCTCTCGGATGTCAAGCCCGCGGCCGTAGCATCTGGTCGGGGCAAGAAAACAATCGACCTCAACGATGTTGAGGAAGATCAGTCGGCCCCACCAGCCGGAAAGAAAAGAAAGACTGATCAGCTAGTGGTGGTCAAAAAAGAGAAGCAATAGCAATCACTGACCGAGGAACGGTCGGATGATCTTCGTCACCAGCCTGCTAGTGAACACATTGATATCTCTCTGGACGACAGCCGTCCAGAGCGGACTGTTAAGGTGGGGACGATTGCCTTTGCAAAGCTGGGTGAAAGCCTTCACCAACTTCTGAGGGAATTCAAAGACATCTTTGCCTTTGAAGTGGAGGAGATGCCAGGCATCAGCCCGGATCTCGCTGTCCACAAAAGATCCTAAAAAGAAGCCCATCCGGCAAAAGAAAAGAAACCACGGCGAAGAAAGAAGTCAGGCGGCAGCTGCCGAAGTAAAAAAGCTATTAGACGCCAAGTTCATTCGGCCGTGCAATTTCCCTGAGTGGGTAGCTAACGTTGTGTTAGTAAAAAAGCCAAATGGAACTTGGCGGATGTGTGTTGACTACACAGACCTCAACAAGGCATGTCCAAAGGATAGCTATCCATTGCCTAAGATCGACAGTCTGGTCGACTCAACAGCCAGACATGCCCTGATGAGTTTTATGGACGCCTATTCAGGTTTCCATTAGATCCCCCTGTGGAAAAAAGATCAAGAAAAGACGGCATTCGTCAATGATCAGGGGTTGTTCTGTTATACGGTGATGCCGTTTGGTTTGAAGAATGCGCCTGCTACTTTCCAACGAATGATTAATACGGTCTTCATTAATCAAATCGGAAGGAATGTAGAGGCGTATATTGATGACATGATAGTCAAATCCAAACTACAGGCGGATCATCTTGCTGATCTCCGAGAAACATTTGCCACACTCAGGCGGCACAAGGTCATGCTTAACCCAAAAAAGTGTGTCTTTGTTGTTGAGTCTGGGAAGTTTCTCGGATTTTTGATTGACCAAAGGGGAATAGAGGCCAACCCTGAGAAAATACAGGCGGTAGTTGACATGCAGTCGCCCCGTACTGTGAAGGAAGTTCAAAAACTAATAGGTTGTCTGGCGGCCCTGGGAAGATTCCTCAGTCGGTCAGGCGACAAGTGCCTCTACTTTTTCCAGGCAATAAAAAAGAAGACAAACTTTGAATGGGGGGATGATGCAAAGGCGACCTTTCAAAAGCTGAAAACTCATTTGCACTCTTTGCCGAGGCTTGTCAGCCCATTGCCCAAAGAGAAGCTCTTCATGTACTTAGCCGTCTCTGATCATGCCCTCAGTGCCGTTCTCTTAGCTGAAAGAGACGACATTCAGCTCCCGGTGTATTTCATTAGCCATGTTATGAGAAACGCGGAGCTTCGGTACCCCATAGTTGAGAAATTCGGCCTTGCCCTTTACATGGCCATCAAGAAGCTTAAACCCTACTTCTTGGCGCATGCGGTAGAGGTTTATACTGACCAACCGATCAAACGGCCACTCACAACCTTGGAGTCTTCTAGACGAATGCTCAAATGGGCGATTGAAATGCAAGGACTAGAAATCACTTACGAACCAAGGAAGGCAATAAAGGGACAAGCATTCGCTGACTTTATTGTCGAAATGACAAGGCCGGTTGTACCGGACAATACAGACCAGGTTTGGAAAGTGTATGTGGATGGGAGCTCCACTGTGAACGGCTGTGGTGCAGGGATTATCTGTTAGTCTCCTGAAGGAGATAAGTACAAATACGCACTACGGTTCAAGTTTCAGGTCTCTAACAATGAGGTCGAGTATGAGGCCCTGCTGGCCGGCATCCGGTACTGCAAGGCGGCAGGGGCAAAGAAGATATCCGCCTGCTCTGATTCTTAACTGCTCGTACTCCAGGTTAATGGAACGTACGAGGCCACTCATCCGGCCATGATAAAATATTTGCATGCGGTAAAGAGTGAAGTTGGGTCACTTGAAGAGTTTCATCTAAATCAAGTGCCCAGGTCTTCAAACAATTAGGCGGATGCTCTGTCCAAGCTGACATCATCTGCCTCCTGTGAAACGCCTCGGTCAGTTTTCTGGGAGGTCATGGAAAGAAGAAGTATATCTGAGGAAGACCCCATTGGAATTCTTGACCGAAGCTCAACCTGGATGGAC